GGGGTTGGTGGTGAGTGATGTGAGAGAGGGGTTGGTGGTGTGTGCTGTGAGAGAGGGGTTGGTGGTGAGTGATGTGAGAGAGGGGTTGGTGGTGAGTGATGTGAGAGAGGGGTTAGTGGTGTGTGATGTGAGAGATGGGTTGGTGGTGTGTGATGTGAGAGAGGGGTTGGTGGTGAGTGATGTGAGAGAGGGGTTGGTGGTGTGTGCTGTGAGAGAGGGGTTGGTGGTGTGTGCTGTGAGAGAGGGGTTGGTGGTGTGTGATGTGAGAGAGGGGTTAATGGTGTGTGATGTGAGAGAGAGGGGTTGGTGGTGTGTGCTGTGAGAGAGAGGTTGGTGGTGTGTGATGTGAGAGAAGGGTTGGTGGTGTGTGCTGTGAGAGAGGGGTTGGTGGTGAGTGATGTGAGAGAGGGGTTGGTGGTGAGTGATGTGAGAGAGGGGTTGGTGGTGTGTGATGTGAGAGAGGGGTTGGTGGTGTGTGATGTGAGAGAGGGGTTGGTGGTGAGTGATGTGAGAGAGGGGTTGGTGGTGTGTGATGTGAGAGAGGGGTTGGTGGTGAGTGATGTGAGAGAGGGGTTGGTGGTGAGTGATGTGAGAGAGGGGTTGGTGGTGAGTGATGTGAGAGAGGGGTTGGTGGTGAGTGATGTGAGAGAGGGGTTGGTGGTGTGTGCTGTGAGAGAGAGGGGTTAATGGTGTGTGCTGTGAGAGAGGGGTTGGTGGTGTGTGCTGTGAGAGAGGGGTTGGTGGTGAGTGATGTGAGAGAGGGGTTGGTGGTGTGTGATGTGAGAGATGGGTTGGTGGTGTGTGCTGTGAGAGAGGGGTTGGTGGTGTGTGCTGTGAGAGAGAGGTTGGTGGTGTGTGATGTGAGAGAGGGGTTAATGGTGTGTGCTGTGAGAGAGGGGTTGGTGGTGAGTGATGTGTGAGAGAGGGGTTAATGGTGTGTGCTGTGAGAGAGGGGTTGGTGGTGAGTGATGTGAGAGAGGGGTTGGTGGTGTGTGCTGTGAGAGAGAGGGGTTGGTGGTGAGTGATGTGAGAGAGAGGGGTTAATGGTGTGTGCTGTGAGAGAGGGGTTGGTGGTGAGTGATGTGAGAGAGGGGTTGGTGGTGTGTGCTGTGAGAGAGGGTTGGTGGTGAGTGATGTGAGAGAGAGGGGTTGGTGGTGAGTGATGTGAGAGAGGGGTTGGTGGTGTGTGATGTGAGAGAGGGGTTGGTGGTGTGTGCTGTGAGAGAGAGGGGTTGGTGGTGAGTGATGTGAGAGAGGGGTTGGTGGTGAGTGATGTGAGAGAGAGGGGTTGGTGGTGAGTGATGTGAGAGAGAGAGTGGGGTTGGTGGTGTGTGATGTGAGAGAGGGGTTGGTGGTGTGTGCTGTGAGAGAGAGGGGTTGGTAGTGTGTGCTGTGAGAGAGATGGGTTGGTGGTGTGTGATGTGAGAGAGGGGTTGGTGGTGTGTGCTGTGAGAGAGGGGTTGGTGGTGTGTGATGTGAGAGAGAGGGGTTGGTGGTGTGTGATGTGAGAGAGGGTTGGTGGTGTGTGATGTGAGAGAGAGGGGTTGGTAGTGTGTGCTGTGAGAGAGAGGGGTTGGTAGTGTGTGCTGTGAGAGAGGGGTTGGTGGTGTGTGCTGTGAGAGAGGGGTTGGTGGTGTGTGCTGTGAGAGAGGGGTTGGTGGTGTGTGCTGTGAGAGAGGGGTTGGTGGTGTGTGATGTGAGAGAGGGGTTAATGGTGTGTGCTGTGAGAGAGGGGTTGGTGGTGTGTGCTGTGAGAGAGGGGTTGGTGGTGTGTGCTGTGAGAGAGAGGGGTTGGTGGTGTGTGCTGTGAGAGAGATGGGTTGGTGGTGTGTGCTGTGAGAGAGGGGTTGGTGGTGTGTGATGTGAGAGAGAGGGGTTGGTGGTGTGTGATGTGAGAGAGGGGTTGGTGGTGTGTGATGTGAGAGAGGGGTTGGTGGTGTGTGATGTGAGAGAGAGGGGTTGGTGGTGTGTGCTGTGAGAGAGGGGTTGGTGGTGTGTGCTGTGAGAGAGGGGTTGGTGGTGTGTGCTGTGAGAGAGGGGTTGGTGGTGTGTGATGTGAGAGAGGGGTTAATGGTGTGTGATGTGAGAGAGGGGTTGGTGGTGAGTGATGTGTGAGAGAGGGGTTAATGGTGTGTGCTGTGAGAGAGAGGGGTTGGTGGTGAGTGATGTGAGAGAGAGAGGTTAATGGTGTGTGATGTGAGAGAGGGGTTGGTGGTGAGTGCTGTGAGAGAGGGGTTGGTGGTGTGTGCTGTGAGAGAGAGGGGTTGGTGGTGGTAGTGGGGACTGTTATCGGTGACGTACGCCACGGGACGGGTGAATTGGGTTTTGAGAGACGGAACGTTCGTCGCGTGGTCAGAGGAAGTGGAGGCGGCTGCGTGGGAGGAGGAGTTGCCGTGCCAGGCGCAGCTGTGTGGGAGGAGAGTGCGCGCAATCGGAGAGCTTTTACTGCCGGGCCTGATGAGGGACGGGGGTGGTGTGGAAAGAACACTGACCATGGGAAGGAGAGGGCTTGTGTGGGTGGGCGGGCGGGCGGATGTCTTTGTGAACATTTGTGCGTAGTGGGTGTGTGCGTGGGCGGCTGGCGTCAGCTAAAACCCCAAAGGGGAATGTGTAGTATAAAAAAACCCATTAAAATTAGCTCTGTGCCTTTCACGAAGACTATTTTCATACATTGAAAATTAATTTCCACACATTAAAATAAAGCGGACGTACCATGTTCCCACAAACACTTATACATTTCATACAAATGTTCCTGTAATTTGTTGCATTTTTGATGGATATATTTTTTGATGGAGCATGATTAGACATATTTGCATCTTAATAACACAGTGAAGTCCAGACAGCATCACTTCTCTTGCTTAGGGCATGGGGCAGCAACACAGATTGTTACACCTGTGTAGTTGATGAACAGGAATTGTCTCCAGATTGTGTTATTTTTAGTGGATTCCATATCGAGATGTTATAATTCGAACGCAGAGGCATGGCATACAACTAATGCAAAGAAAACTTACCCACTAAAAGCCTTTTTATTCTGCATGACAAAGTTGGATAAAAGCAAATCGTTTTAAAGGTTTAGGTATCAATTTGTTAGCCGCAAATTTCAAGAGGTCATATTGAGGCCGACTGGTTTAAGTACTGAACGCGGGCACGTGTCGAATATTCACAGAAGTCCTCCACGCTTAACCACGGGGCAATGGGGCTTAATTTTCATCACATATCGCAGGATAAAGACAACGATCCCCCGTATAGCCTTAACAGACTATTGGGGCAAGTGCTGTTAGCGTGCACCTATGAAGGGCCGGGACGGCCTTTGTATCCCGAGTGGCGATGTTTACACACTGCACCAGATACTCAGGCTGAGTCGACCGGTTCAAATAATCGTCACTGGTGTTGGTGGCCATGAGCAGGAATCGAACTCGGATAGCCAGGTTCGTAGCGCAACGTAGCGCTAACTGCTACACTACCGCTCCACCAATTTTTTGCTTCAAATATCGCAGGACTCTCTCTTCTACCAGCCACTGTCTGTACCACTGAGTCTCGGTGAGCCTTCTATCTCAAATTGCTCGTGATCGTGTTAGGTACATTCACAGCCCTTTCTGTCAGTCCACTGCTGAATGAAGGCCTCCCCGACACGTTGCGGGCCATTTGGGATATTTCACCAAACTTCACGCTGATCAGTGGGGAGGGGGGGGGAGTGCAGAACTGTTGATGCTGCATTTCCCTCTGCTGCCCACAGTGGCATGTCTCTTGCACATGGTGGTGGTCGCACATCCTTGCGCTATCCAGGCTCATCGCTGCTTGACTTCTGAGATCTGATAGGATGAGGGGGGTCATTCTGAGTGATTTGTCAAAGGCGAGTGCTCAATTTGGTTGTATTGCCTCTCTAAACCATGTAGTCTCCGCACTCAAACAAGATTCCAGCATCTACGCTGGATACAAAAATAACATCGTCACAGGGTGGGGAGCTCTATTTTGTAAATTAAATCAAAAACACGTGGCAAGAACTAAAGTTTCGCTCACTGACAGATATAGGATAGCCCCATGTGGCCGATGTCCAAATTTTGCAACCTGTATTTAATGATGATGATAAAGAGCATTATTATTTACCCTGGAGATCCTCACTGAGTCAAGACACTGTTTCAGCAAGGTCCTGCAATAAGACGTTTGACTAACTGCATGAATAAGCATTCGATATGCAGGGATGAACCACTTGCATATGAGGGAATAACACTCACAGCTCTGCACAGAGTCCAATGCTGTACTGCCATCTCTTGGCCGCCTCTCGGTGCAACTGTAATATGCCGGCAGTCTCCTATCAGAATCCTAACCAGGCTCGATACTGCTTAGTTTAATGGTATCTGATGAGACCGGCCAGAGTTTCAGGGGGGAGCTTTGCTTATAGCCTGCCACACGGGAAACATGGATACCCGTTGCTCTTATAAGGGCTTGTCAGTTAGCCATGCATTAGACCAGTGTTATTTTAGTCAGCATTCTTTAGTTTAGTAATAGTCTTCGTCTTGTCAACAACAATCTTTGTAATGTTACTTCAGTCTCAGTCTGTGGGTTTAATTTTTTCATTGGCACATTGGGATCTACGATTAAATGTGCCTTACAAATGTAATTCATGATCATTCTCTTAGTCTAGTCTGGACATTCAATCAGTGAACTCGGGCATCCTTTTTTTATCTACATATACCCATTTACCGTTTTTTGTGTTTCGCAGTACACTGCAGTCTCTATTAATGTTACTAAAGTATGTCGGTCTGCGTCTTCATCAGACTCATTTGCTTCGTCGCATGAAATCAGCGATGCCAAGTTCTTTGGCGGGCGACCTTAGCCATCGTCAAACTTGACGACTTTCATCCACTCATCGTAACCTTTGGCTGAATAATAAAAACTAGCACTGCGTATTGACATTTCCATCTCTTAACTTGATGAAGGAAATGAATACCGCACGCACGACTTGAGTGCCATTGTCTGTCACCCCCCCCCCCCCGCAGGTTATCGCACGGCGGCGGTGCAGCGACGACGGACGGTCTGGTTGTGGGCACGGCTCGGGGCACCATGGCGGTGGTGATGAAGCCCAGCACGTTGGGCGAGCTGCAGCTGTTCCGCGTGCTGCAGCGTGCCAACCTGCTGTCGTACTACGAGCCCTTCGTGGCGCAGGGGGGCGACGACGTGGCGCAGCTGTGCGAGGCGAGCGAGGAGGAGTTCCTGGAGATCATGGCACTCGTGGGCATGGCCAGCAAGCCCCTGCACGTGCGCCGCCTGCAGAAGGCGCTGCAGGAATGGGTCAGTTCCACCGGTAGTTGCGATCCCTCCACTCCCGCCAGCGCCACTTGCCACCAGTGTTGCCAACCTGGAGAGTTTGTTTGGTAGATTTAGAGATGTTCTCTGGGGTTTTCACGGTGATAAAATGTTGTCAAAGTGACGAGTGACAAATACCGTGACTTTCTCAGACTTATGCAGATTTAGGAGAGATTCCAGCTCTGTATTATTGACAATCTATGAGTTCACAATGGTTAATACTTGGTAAATGGTCAATTGACATGATTCCTGATGTGTATTAAGGATCTTGTATGAGTTTACTTTGTTTAAAAGTTAGTAAAGCTGTCTTGATGGTTTTGACAACTTTTAGAGGTCGACCTTGCGACACTTAGTGACCTGAGTATTTATTTTGTGACTTTCCACTTTTAACGAGCTACCTACACTGCTCAACCCACACTCCCCGCCAGGTTGAATTACATTACGCTCGCCACCGCTCGACCGTTCCCCCCCGGCCTGTGCGTGACAGTGGCTGTGCGTGTGATTTTGGTGGCGCAGGTGAGCAACCCCGGGGGGTTCAGCCAACCGCTCACCAAGCTCCCGGCGGCGAGCATCCCGCTCACGCGCGTTCCGGAGCTGTCGGCTTCTGCTGTGGCGCGCCCCAACCCGGCGAGCAACGCCCTCGAGGCGCAGGTGAGCAGACGGTGACCACGTCACGCGACTCCAGCACGGTGAAGTTCTGCCGTCGTTAACTGCTGTCGGGCAATTGAAAAACGTGGGCTGTGTTTTGGGGTGATTCGATGAAGGAATGTGGCCTCGCAAACACGGGAAGCTCACTGCGGTGCATGTCCAGCGTGACGAGGTGACAACAAGTGATGGGGGTATGGATTGGCGTTTGGGGGACGTTCAATATTTCGGCAACTTTCCAGTGCCTTGCAGCTCATCTCAACCATTGCAATGCCCTGCGACGGTCTAGCGTACCGGCGCCCCATTTGCAGGTGTCCCTGTGCGGCACGAGGTGTACGCAGCATTGGCCTACATGGTTTTAGTTTTCTCACAAATAATTTCTGTGTGCACACAATTTATGTGAATACAATGCACTTGATGTGCTGTGTTTTTTGTTATGCTAATGAATAAAATCAATAAGAGGTGGATGAACCTCTTATTCCAATGGGTGATAGTTGAAGCTTGGGTTGGTGAAGGTGGGGGGTTTACAGAAATTGCCCTCTGCCCACGACGCATCTTGCAACACCTGTCTTGTGTACACAGTGGTCACCCGTCCAGGCTGCTCCATCCAGCTGAACCCTGCTTGGTTTCAGAGGTCTGTCAATAATTTTCATAAATGGGTAAATTATTGATTCTCACGCACATTCAGTTGATTGCACATTTCGTGGTGAGTGTGAGAATCGATTTTAATTGATGGCTCTGTTTGTCGTTACGTGCCTATTGTGTATGGAGGGCCGGTTGGGTCAGTGGATCACACGAGTGGATGCAGGAGATAACAGTAGAGCCAATACTTGTGCTCTCAAGCTGCATCGACAGGGCTGGTAGAAAACGGTTACAGGGATAAGAGACAAGTTGAAGTGAAAATCACATTAACTCGGGTAACTGTCAAAAACCCCCCATAATAATGAGCCATTATCATACAAAGATGTGTATTTTAAAAAGGACATGCGTATCATTGATCCAAAAAGGTTATATTTTTCAAATCATTTTGCTTCATTTATAAATTCCATTTCCATATTAACGTATGAAATACGTTTTAGCAAGCATCGTAAACATGCGTAGGACGACTTGTCATCGCTTCTCCCTCCAGAGATGATGAGCGTGAATGTAGAAGACATATTACGCATTGCAGGGTATAATTTTATCCATTTTCGGAAAGAGCCACTTCACGAACATTCATTTCCTGCTTTTGTTGCCCATTAGGCCGTGCGATTGTGACTGGGTGTGATTGGCAGAGTGTTGGCTGAGTGTGTGCTGTGCTGCACTATTTATAAGCTTTGGTTATTGTGTGCTACCTTACTCATCCGCTAAAGCTGGAGTGCTGGGAGCTTAATTGCAATGTCATCTCAAAGGCTTCACTGCCTACGAGGGTTGACGATGTAATGAGACATCCTCAGTGCGTCAACCTGGTGGAGGCGTCTATTAATTTCAGTAACTGCACTTTATTTCTCTCAATTATCCTAATTTAATTTGAAGCAGAGTCACCAGAAAATTCAAAGTAATTGCGTAGATTGTGTCGACCCAAAAACTTTATCCAGACATTTATCCAGATAAGTAAGGAAACTTGAATACTGTACATCATGCATCTGTGTAAAGTAGCTGTTGGCTGGTGCAGGCTCATTTAGTCTAGTTGTGAGGCGCAAGAGTTACCAATGCGCCACCCCTGCCGCCCCCAAAAAAGTGACTTAGAAACGGCGAGAGCTGATGCGTGTCCACATTGAGCTCTCCTGACCCGTGCTGCATCTGTGGTCCCCGCCCTTCCCCTCCAGGTGCGCTTGGCCCAGAGTCTCGTGTGCTGCGCCTCCAAGATCGGCCGCCCTGGCGGCATGGACGCCGTGCCCGCGACCGCCGGCTCCCACGTCGCGCCGCACGGCCCCTCCCTGGCTCACGCGTCGGCACAGGCGCGCATCCACCCGGCGCCCACGCACGGCCAGCAGCACCAGGTGGCCAGGGCCGTGCCGCTGCCAAGCGCCCCGGCCGTGGAGAGGCCCTCCCCGCCCCTGGCGACCGCACGCGAGGTTTGTGAGGGACCGCCCGGTGGTGAGGGGCTTCTGTGTAGAGTCGGGAGGAGGGGGCGGAAGGACCTGTCTCCGTGCAAGTGACACACTCAGCTTGGTCACCGAGTAGAAGTAATGGCATTAGTGCTGTGGTATTCGGGGCAGCCTCATTGGGTATTGATACTCTTCCTCAGGAGGTATACTTAAGTCATTTCACTGTGCGAGAGAAACTCTCGCGGTTAAGAGAGAATCATGCAAAATTTTGAGTTGAAAAAGATTTTCCCCACTGCCACATCTTACCTCGATAGATTGAAGTTTCTTAATCATAAATTCTGCAACATCTACCAATCCTTCATCCAAAGCAATAAATTAAGAGGCACACACCACCAAGCTTGGCTAATTACTATCTTCGCCAGATAACAAATTAAGCTTTTTTTCAGATTTTAGATCACGTGTCAATCAGACTGACTTTTAGTGCCTGTCACGTCCACATAAGTATTCTTCTTGCATGTTTCACACCCGGGGCGGTCTGCGCTGCCTTGAGTAAACCTACCGTGTGCCAGTCCCCGCCCTCACGTGCGCTGCGCTCGTGTGTCCCCAGCGGGACGCGCTGCCCCCAGCGTCACTGGTCGTGCACTCGCAGCAGAGGCTCTCCCCGGCCGACTCGGGTTGCCGCTCGGCTGACGAAGGCCCCGGCTCGCCGCCATCGTCGCCGCCACGGGACCTGGAGCCCGGCGCGTGCCTTGACGACGCCTCCATTCAGAGCATCGGGGAGTCGGCGCAGAGGCTGCTGAGCTCCGTGTCGACGCCCGCACCGCCGCAGCCGAGCCCCGAGGAGCTCAGGGAGCTACTGCGCGGCAACCGCAAGCAGGGTCGCTCGCTGGCGCACATCCTCGACCTGCACGAGAGCGACCGCCGCCGCATGGACGAGATCCGGAGGTACAGCGCCATCTACGGCCGCTACGACTCCAAGCGGAAGGATGGCCGGCAGCTCACCTTGCACGAGGTGGGTGCTCGCTGTTGCCGCGTCCGGTTCCTCTTCCCGCCCCACCTCCATTTTTTTATTAAAATTTTCTCTACGTGTTTGTTAACCCGTTTATACAATTCTGTAGGATCCATCATGGACTGCACTTAATCATGTCAGAACTGCACATGGGAGGTGCTGCTTCCTCTCATGAGTGAGGAATTGAGTAGTTGCCTAATTGTGACTGCAGTGAAGTGCAATCCATCACTCAAAGTATCGATCATTGCCAAATAATTGATTTGACAGGAGGCACAAATGCAAAATATCTGGTGACCATAGATGTCATTCCAAATTCAACACACAGTCATAAATAAGCGCGCGCATTGCTTTTCAAACACCATATGAATGAAATAAAGAAAGAAAAGTATCTTTATGTATGTCCTACCCAGCACCCTGCATACAATTAAATATTGTGTAAGTGTACATGACAATACAGGAGAGGCTGCCGAAGGGAAGGGGACGACCATCCATACACAATGCAGTTACAATCGTAATAATAATCATCGGTTGTTTCCTTCATGATTATGTTTTGGATATGGAAGGCAGTACCAAGAGAAAATCATGCATACGGATGACTAATCTAAAACATATATATCCATGCAGATAATTCAACAACCTGCCAGTTGTACAGTAGTGTGACATCCACTGGCCACCTTATAACCTATCAGATTGGAAGCATCACAGGACATAATAATCTTTGTACGATCCAACAACCCCCACCTATAAAGCTTTGGATTACACTTGGGGTACAGGGCGCTCGGCATCTCCTGCGCCATGTGATCTCGGTGACACTTGAGCGGGCGTGGAAGACGCGCCGGCGCCGGCGTTGTTAGTCATGCCGTCCAGCTTGGAGGGGGGGGGGGCAGCCAAGCAAGGGGGATCGAGTTCCATGCCATGGGGTCGGTATTCGTGCGCTGCTCGCAGATGACGGTGAACGAGGCGGCGGCCCAGCTGTGCGCGCGTGACCTGACCCTGCTGATTCGGCGCGACGAGCTCTTCCCGCTCGCACGCCAGGTGGTGCGCGAGTCTGGCTACCACTACAGCCGCAAGTACTCAAAGTACGTTCGACGCACGCGACCCACGCCACCTACGCCCCCTCGCTGTCTTCCTCTGAAAGCTCCTGAATCGATGGACTGGACGCCACGCGCGTTGTTTCTCTTGACTCGTTTGTGATACTCATCGGAGTTCCTTGTACGCTCCACCCTGTGTTACATCTGTCGGATACCTCTTTGGAGTTGGTCTGGCAACGCACGTAGTGGTCTTTAGGGGGACGCGATGTCTCTGCAGTAAATCATGTTGTCTGATCATAGCAACGTCAGTGATTTTGGTTGCTCGGTTATACATTAGGTCGCTTAAATCTCTTGCCTCTTTTCCCATGAAGGACTTTTGGGTAAGCAAAGACCATCAGGCAATAATGTCAATTGAGAATATAATTGTTCTCTATATAAAAAGGAAATGAGGTTTAAAATGATAATAATGCTCGTGAGACACTGTATGTAGAAACTGGTTTAGAGTTTCCTTGTTTAGCGACTGAAATTATGCACCCCCAGAAGGCATTGTTGCTGATGGGTATTTTAAGAAATGCTTTTAATTTTTTTGGAGATATGTAATGTGGAGAGACGTAATGTATCCTTATTCATGTTGTAATTTATAGTCACCATAATGATACTAAATTTTTTTAAAACAATGTGAGAAGGGGAGTTTGCTTTTTCGCTTGGAACTGACGCACCATTCGCACGCTTGTACGTTACAGATCCAAGTACATGGAGAGTGCGTTTTCGCTTGTGGCAAAGAGACCCCGACTGGAGGGGGGAGGACTCTTCAGCCGTGACGACACCCCTAACCCCCGCACGGTGCAGGCTGAGCTCGCCAAGCTCAAGAGACAGGTGCGTGCAGAGTGGGGGGACACAGGCACGCGCGCGGAGTGACACGGGTGCAGTGGAGTGAGAGCGAGCGAGTGAGTGGCACTTCGGGGTCATGGTGTAACTTGCCGTGCGTGTGCGTGCCCCAGGATCGCCTGTTTGAGATTGAGGACCGACTGCGCACGTTACGACAGGGCCAGGACACCCTGCAGGATCAGCTGGTGGAGGCCAAGAGTACGGGGGCCACTGCGTCCATGACTCAGCTGCAGGTTTGCTCGCACACTCAACAACCCCGATTTCATTCCGATGCTGCTGACATTGATGTTGCTGGACCTTTGCCCCTGCATGGCCTCGTGCATCAGATCTGGATTGTTCTAAGCGTCTCGCATTCCGACCCACATGCTGAGAGCTTCTTAACGAATTTAATTAAGGAACAACCCCGAAATACATCAGATAGCGACTGCAGGCGCTTACATTTTTGAACGAGCTGGCACGACCATTGTTAGATAATGGCCATTTTTACTTTTGACACTGTTCCTTGATAGTGGTTGCATTGGTTCTCGCTACTCTTTGAAATATGCACTCAACAAGGATGGCGGTGTAATTTTTCCACGATGTTTCAGCGATGATCAGTAGGCGTGGAACAATCCTTAAATCCGTCACTTAATATTTATTACGAAATTCACGATAAAAACATCGAACCACCCGCCTGAAAATTGATATGTCATGGTTTGTGTGTTGCATCAATGGGTTCACATCACCCCTGCAGCCACTAGAGGTGCTGTCTGATACTGCAACGTGAAAATAAGAATTTATTCATGAACCGAATTGCCACAATCGTGAATGGGTGCAATTTGCCGAATCACTTCGGAGGTGAATATTTAAACTCCAAATTGTCCAATTATCATGACCAGATCGACCAGAGCCTGAAGTCAAGATGAGTGAAGCAGGGACAATGGAGCCTGGAGTGTGAAGCCTGTCTGTTTCAGAGCCCCCCGATTAGATCTTGGTACAGATCTGTTTTATATTGGGCTTGAAGGCCAGGTATATTACCTGCCATAAGTTTGTTGTCCTTACCCCGCACCTTTGATGGTTGGCTACGTAGAGTACGAAATAAATAAATAAAATACACACAAACATACTGTGCCAAGACACAAGCGTGGCCTGTTCGACAAGTTTGTGATGACGGTTGCCACCTCTTGCGGACCCAAAAATCGGATCTATCATGGGTTAAAGAATATCTGACCGTACCAGAAGTGGGGTGAGAACTACATGCACATTAGGGCTGAACGATTTGGGGAAAATATCTAATTGCGATTTTTCTGACAGATATTGCGATTTGATTTGCGATTATATTTTTTTAAGTCAAGCTTCAGTTCAATATTCACTGTGTAATAGATTTAAAACAAGCATTACCACATGATACCACCAAAATATGAACTGCTCTATATATTCTAATGCAAGGATGAGAACTTAAAAGATATGCATTGCTTCCATCATGTATTTATTTAAATGTTTTAATTGAAATAGAACAAGTTAAATAAATAAAGTTATAATAATAAAAAAAAAACTATTTCAATAAGAAAGTAGTAGGATTTTTCAAATCTCAAAAAATCGCAGCCTTTGCGATTTGCTAATCGCATTGTTTCAAATTGCGATTTCGATTTAAAAGCGATTAATCGTTCAGCCCTAATGCACATGCATTGTATCCAGTTTTGTATTATGCAACTGACAAAAACTTGGGCTTTTAATGTCCCGGGAAGGCTTGGAGATTTTCCAGGATGGCTACCTCAAGAAGAGGGCGATCTGGGAAAATCAGGGACAGGTAGCAACCACAGCTATGACGCTTCCCCACCAGGTGCGGCTGGAACTGATACAGGCCGAGCAGCACGCGCTGAGCCAGGAGCAGGCCGAGCTGCTGCGGCGGCAGAGGCGCTCCGACCGCTATTTCTACAGCAAGCAGCAGCGCGGGGAGCAGGGCACCCCGGAGGATGGTGCCGACGACTCCGACTCGAGTGGCGACGATGCCGCGGGTACGACCGATGCCCCCCCGCCCCCTCCCGCCCCCCCCTTGCTCTCGTCACGGCAGAGACTGTTTTGTGTCATTTATATTTCATCATTATGATCGTTTACCCAGGAAAGCCTCACAGAATCTCACAACTCTGTCAGAATAGTCCTGCCAAGTTTTCGCAGTCGCAGCAGTGGTGGAGGGTGGGGCAGAGGTCGCAACCGGGTACCCGATACCCGTACCCTACCCGATACCCGGCTACCCGTACCCGGCTGGGTACGGGTACCCGTTTGCGACCCTGGTGAGGCCGGGTACGGGTAAGGAATCAAAACCCGTTTGCGACCTCTGGGGCGGGGGCAGAGAGATGACCGCTTTGTGTAAATCTCAATCGAGTGATTCGATGACACCTGCAGAGAAATGTAACCGAGGCTGTGCGTGCGCAGATGCATGGGAGGATGGCGCCTCGGACTCGAGTATGGCCGGCGCGCCTGGGTCCGGGGAGCTGCCTGGGAACTACCGCCCGAGTCCGCTGGTGCGGCAGCAGTTGGTGCAGCGCATGCTGATGGACGAGGGGCTGCGCTTGGCCCGGCAGCACGCCATACTCGCACCCGCGGAAGTGCCGCACGTCAAGGCCGAGCCGGCCTGGTCTGGTGAGCCCTGCTGCTGCTCGAGTGCAGCCAGATGTCACCGTGCATTGTGCATTTTGTTGTACTGTGATCGTCGTTGCAACAAGTTGACTTTGCCTCCGATTTCTATAATGTTGTTGACACGTTTTGCTGACTCCTTTCATTTGTGCTACATGCCCTTGCTTTACTGTGGAGTGGAATACTTTCTTTTCATGCACACACTCGGCCTTTTGAATGCTTGTCTTTTGTGTATCAATTCATCATCATATAATCTTGATTTAATAAGCTTGTTATTGCTCCCCTGTCTTCAGTGCATTTCTCTGTCCCCGTCTGCCTTGCTGTAGACTGCTGTTCAAATAAAAGTAAATTAATTTGTTTTTAAATGATCATCAATTATGTTCAGTCTTTTTCATGAACACGGTACCACACCATACAATAGTGTATACGACTGAAGGTTTTGCTTTTTCAGGGTGATTGTCCATTGACTCATTGGCTTTGTGCTTGTGTAGATGCAGAGGATGGAGCAAACGAAGACAAAACAAGTACAACTGAATCCGTGAACCAGGAGGAGAGGGTGGATGACTGTAGCCCCTCCAATGACCGGGGAAATGGGCAGGTTGAACCTAAACTGGAGTCCTAAAGGGATTTATTTTGTGTATAACAAATCTGCAGCTGTTGCGTTGAAATTAGATAATATCTTGCGGTCTTTTTTATTTTATTTATGAAACTATAAAACTATTTTTTAAGCCCGACGTTGTTAGACAGATGTGCTTGCTACAACGTGGGGGGGGGGGGGGGCGTGTATGGACCTCACTCTTCAGCACGACACATCTCCCTATTTACTTGTGCAGCTCTCCTGCAGTGCGTTCATAGCAAATAGGTTGCGATTGTTGTTGTGTATCACTTTCTTTTGGCAGTTATTAAACATTAAATGTGGTTTCTTAATGAAATCAATAAAAAAAAGCCTACGATAACCCATGCAACCAGGTAATTGCACCAGCGAATGTTTCCATCGCATAACAGGCATGCAATCCTGTATCATCGCTGCTTTTAGTCCTGTACACTGTGTGGTAAGGCACTGGGGCCGGAGGTGGCATGAGGAACTGTGTATGGGGTGAAACGCATTAGGTCTCTGCATAATACCACATTGTATTTTACAATATATACGAGGATAGACACCCCCAATTTTAGCATTTTCAGGCTTTTGGGGCACATTCTGTTTGCGAGCTCCTATGAAGGTTAGCATGGTGCATAAACCATCCCTGGCCGCCTTGGTCTCCCCAGTGCTGATGTTCATACACTGCACCAGATATTCATGTTTAGGAGCTGAGTCGACTTAAGGGAGGCCCTGCTCCAGTTCAGATATATGCCACTTGATGTTGACTGGAAGCAGGAATCTAACTCGGGTGGCCAGGTTCAAAGTGAAGTGCGCTAACCACTACGCCACTGCATCCCCACAGTGCGCGTGTGTAAATATACACCTTACTTATGTGTAAATATACACCCTACTTATGCTCAACTGCCTTCTTGCTTTCCATACTTGTGAATTTGTATGTAAAGGAATCTCAACATGCCAAAACAAAGGTACAGCGATTCCTCTGTTAAATGTTTATTTATTGTTGTCTGTGTTGATGTGGATCGTGCAGAGTGAATGTATTGTGCAACATGGTGAAACGTCGTACTCGGATTGTAAATGTTGTGGGTTTGCTCTCCAACACACCGGTGTGCTGTACTCGTAACGAATTGGCATGTTCTGTTTACGTGACAAACCTTATTAATTGGCTGTGTCGGATGGTGGTGGGTTTAACGACACGTTTATATTTACGCGATCTAACCCAAAAAAAACCTGTATTATGGATGCCCATACTATATTAAAGTCTTATATATGCACACAGTAGACAGTTGTGTAGTTATTTGTGTCAAAACAAGAACTCTTATGTTATTTCCAATACAATGTAATATTCTTAATTTTACTATTGTTCCAGGAGTGTTTTTGTTGCTGTGTAATGTTTATACATTGTAGCTATTTGGGCTTGCGACGGCTTGGGAAGGCCTCATCCAGCAGTGGATTGAATATGGCTGCTGATGATAGTGTGTGCTTAGAAATACTTGTGATGGTATTGAAATTCATGTGCTTGTGGTTTGTGAAAGCACATGTGCATTGAGAGTTGTGTTTATTATTACGTAATTGTTTTTTATGTGTATATTCAGCAATAAAGAAAAGTTAATTGATTTTTCCAATTGCTTAATGATGTTTTCTGAATTATTCAGTCGCCTGCTCTGCATTGCAAACATTGACAATAAATCACACTACGGTACATTCTCTAATTTTACAGCTATGGGCCCCAATTGACAACTTGAGGAATAGGAATACTTTGCCCAATTAAGTGAAAATGGAGGCTCCCCTGGCAGTGAATCAATTTTCACACAAACTTTGTGTGAGAGGCCTTTATCCGGATGACACGGAATGAGGAGGGAGGGGTGGGGCTGGGTGGGGGGAGGGGTGGGGCTGGGTGGGGGAGGGGTGGGGCTGGGTGGGGGAGGGGTGGGGGGAGGGGTGGGGCTGGGTGGGGAGGGGCTGGTCACCCCGTGGTAATGTGTTGGCACCAGACGTTTATAGAGAAAGGAAACGTTGCCCGTTGATTTGTCAGCCGTTCACATAGTTCCACGGGAACTGCAGATTTACGTAACACAAATTTAAACATTTGTCGCTCATTACATTGAAGATATGTTTAAACATAAGCCATCTTGTACCAGGCCTAATGTTATACAGTACGGTATTATCAAACAGTACTTTGGGTGTGGTGTACATTGCCTAAATAGCTTTAATTGTGCAGGTGATCTCCACACTGTCATTTCACGTGAGCGTTAAGCCCAAAGTCTTGAGCAGTGAGTGTATACCGTGGGCAGATGTTTGTTCAGAATAAAATACTTTAACAAAGGTCCTCGAAGTAGTCTTACTCATTTTAATTTAAAGCACTTTATGTTCATTTGTTGAACATATCAGCATCTTCCATTCCAAGGAAAACAATGGGCACTGTATGACCACTGCATTTTTTAATAAAATAAAATATTGTGCACTCTTGCCAGGGTTAATGTCTAACGAGAGCAGCACTCACAACCTACGACCAATGTGTGCACCGGTGCAGTCGAGTGATAGCAATTTCAGATTCCGCTGCTTTTGCATTTAACGTATTGTCCACTGTCACCAATGATAGCAACACCAAATTCCAGAACGTCCTTCGAAACTGTTCATTTAACTCCCTTAACCGAGGTTAACTTGTGACAATATTTATTGTATGAAGATATCCATGTTGAACTATGGACAAACTATGTATGCACAGATGATCAACCTTTTGGAAAGTGCATTGCAAATGAGCATGTGTCCATTTCATTCGCAAACTTGTCAGCCAGCTGGCCAGGATTGGGCAAAGACGTTGCCGACTTTTCATCCAGGAAACCGGAGAGCACTGGCTTAGGTATTTGTTGAGAATGACGTACACATTAAATACCTGATATACTCTCAGAAAGAAATCTAATTTGTAGAATATATTACACCAGTACTACAAGAGTTAATTTCATTTTTTTTATTAAATGAAATAAAAGCAACAAATCAAGCCACATAAAAGCGGTGCAAAGGGTGGTTTTACTTGAAAGGTCATGTTTGTTTTGGCTGTCTTGTGAATGCGCGTCAGAAATTATCCAACCGCTTCTCATTTTAACCCGAATCCAATCATCTGTGAAAATACAACCCAGGGCAATCATAACCGCCATGCGTGGTTATAGTTGTGGCCACTTATCTGCCATCCGCAAGCATGGGCATGATAATGTTGAACGAGAACTAGAAAAACTGAATTGTAAATTTGCTACTCTGTGCATTAACATTGCTCTCATTATAAGGGCACACACGTGGCAGTTAAATGCTCATGTACACACTTTAGTACAATTAATATTTAAAAGAGACCTTGGATTTATACAATTCTACAGTGAATAACCGTGTTACTGTTGCGATTGACGGGAAGCCCACCTGAAAGTAATCGTGTTGGAAAAAAAATGTTGAGAAAAAAATGGCAACTTAAAAAAAAACCAAATTGGCCCAAAATTACACCAAATCTGTTATTTACCAGCTTAAATGGCAATGTATATATATTACAAATAACTCTGATCAGACAACTCATGCTACAAGTAAAAGGCAGCAATGGAGAAAAAATTGGATAACACCTCAACTGAGGCCCAAAGGCCTTAGCATTTAAACTCACGAACATACAATACATGTAAATACCAATGGGCACTGTAGTTTATCCGTAATGAGATGTAGATTATCGATAGTGTATGACATTCATGTTACAACCACAGCCCTTGTCCGTGCTCTGTTGGATACATGCTTTCACCACACCGTGTCTATCATGGCTTCCTTATTTCTACTATACTTCACTGCAATGGTCAGTGGGGTTAGTTGAAGAGAGGGACACGGAGCACCAGTTCAGATATCGTTGTTAGGTTTGCCGGTCTACCCACATTACAAGAAATTACACGTGTATGTGTGCGAATACTGCAATATCCATTGTTTTTGAATGTAACAGATAATTTTGGATACAGATGGGTTTTTTTTATATAAAGTACGAAATAAACAGCATGCCGGACAGCAGGACGGAGTTGCACAAGCCCTAATAAAGGCAATATATGTTACATCAAAGCAAATATATATTACTGTGACATCCAGTGATATCTAGAGCAAACCACTAGAGGTATTGCTGTGGATGGCATTATCATAACCCGGTTACATTGAGGAATATGTAGTCAATATACGTGTTTAAGCTGTAAGTACATTGTCTGAACAATCCTGTTACTGCTGTACTGCATCCATATAGCACACTGGGTGTTCCAATCCTTGCTTACATTCTAATCTTTGAAGCATTTAAGATGCACTCCAAGCAAGTTTTTTCTTTACTGCTGGTAAATACATTCAAAATTTATAGTTGCAATATATATGGTAATCTGAACACTACATGCTTTGTCTAATCTACATGGACATGACAAAAAGACACGTCAAAAACGTTAAAAGTTTAAGAAATAAGAAGATAAGTGAATCCACAAATAATCTTATACAGAGGAGAATCGATTACATTGCGATACAAAGACACGTCTTACAACATCTATGGCTTTTATCTACACATTTTTTTTGTCACCATTAATTACTTCTTCCGAGACCGTTTTGTCCTGCCAGGCAGAACTAATGTTACACGGTGTGTGCATAAGCACCTATACAATCCCATCTTGAGCTTCATTTCACCACACAGCTGGTTACGAGAAAATACATTTAAGATTTCTCCCCCACCCCACCAAAGGAACGGGATGCTTAGGGATTGCTCCACTTATCATTATTCCTAAAAAAAACCCAGGGAACTGCTTATACTTGCAGGACACACAAACATTTCTTATTTATACAATAGGCCACTTAAACCATTGCTCGCTTGCTTACATTGCATAAAGGCGTTACTCCTTCACCGATTGTGAAGTTAAAAGCAGTGAATGTTTTTATTAACTCTGGTCATTAAAGAAAATCACAAAGTACCTTTACTGTAAAATTAACTAAACATTTCTTAGGAAATCTCAAATTTCTTACGATGTGGCAAACCCCCCTTCCCCCCCATTGCAAACAGCAGCATAGGCACGCAGAAGCCATGCAGGGCTGTCACACGAGCCACCTTTGTCCCCATCCTGAAGCAGACATGAACAGGTTCAATACAGGTGTCATCCTCTGCTACTTCAAAATGTATACTTTAGCAAGGAGCACGCTCATTATTCACATTCATCAAGGGAGTAAAAGTAAAACAATATTTTTTAAAAAAGCTAATATAAAACCACGTACTGTACAATATGGGGGGAAATGAAAATAATCTTTGAGGCATATTCAAATAATACTTTTAGGAACTCACAGCTTGGAAAATAAAAGGTGGAAGGAAGAAAGTAAGCGTTTGTTGTATCCAAGTATTTCCAAAATATCCCTTGATCCAGAAAATCTTTATTATCAAAGCATGATGGTTCTGCTTGCAGTGTTTGGATAATTCCAAAATCGAATGTTTCCATGCCTGGAAGAAAATAACCTGGAAAATCCCACCAAGCTACAATTGGAGCTAACATAAAAAACCATCCAAAGCACTTGCTGTAATACCTTAGGTTTGGTATCTCATGAACATGATGATGCATATGGCCATCCACCCACCCCACCTACATTATCGTGGATTAAAACAGCATATTTTGGTAAGGCAAGTATGTTATCACGAAGATAATTAAGGTGTTGAGGAATCCTTTACACTGCATACAAGTAACATTCTGCAACTAGCAAGCCAAATAATGCCGTTACTTGAAGATGGTTTTGGAAGGCATAACATGCAAAACACGAAAACGACAAAAATCATGTGCATTCATCCAGGTTGTCTGAATGTGCTACATTGAACAAGGCATTGTTTTTGGACAAACTTACATTACCGAATTTCTATATTGACAAATTATAGCGAGTTAATAAAAGAAGATCAAACAAAAAATCCTTAAGTGTACTCTTTAAAAATCTTTTTTAAAAAGCAAAAAAATGTGCAACTCCCAGTCACCTCTATCAGCATTTACATTCTAACCTTGGACAGTCACCTATGCTCATCACATGCTCATCCTGGAATCAATTGCAAATTATTAGAAGAGCAACACCTTCCTAGATTAATAGGTTTCCTACTTCAATTGAAAACTCAGATTAATTGGCAAGAATGCCATACGGATTACCCATGTACAGCTCAAAAAAGGAATCAGCACTCTGACCCAGCAGTGTGAAGGGCTCCACATATCCTGAAGAAGGGGACACCTGCTTCTTGCTGCCACAAGCCTTGCATCATATGTGAGGCTTCTGGGTTTGACTGAACATGTGCTCGCTCCAGTCTAGCTGCTGTCACATGGTCACTAACTCTGGTTTCCCACCTCACCTCGGAGACAAAATGTAGATCTGAAACTGAAGGGAATTAATTATCTGTCTGTGGTAGTGCAATGATGTGAGGGTGAGTGTTGAAAGAGGGTAGTCGTTAAGCAATGAGTAGGTTATTGGGCATGCATAAATCATAAATGAACAAAATATGCCTAATAGCCAGATCTGTCCTCACACTTCATCATTCTCTGCTCAAACGTCTCCTCCCCATCCAGGTCTTCCTTTCTTCCAGAGGCATCTTGTGTTGTGGCTCAGTTGTTCTGGTACATGTGCGATGCCGGGAACGTTGAGCACGTCTGTCCGTAGAACGGGCTGTACAACGATTGGCCCTGCATGCTGCTCGAGTAACCCTGCAGCCGACAGTCATGGGAGTGCACACATGGCTTAGCTCACACCGAGGGCATAACTGGAGTCAAACTGGACAAAAGTGTACACGTACATTTCAGTTTACACGTAAAACATACAAAAATATATTACAAATATTTTTAGCTGCATATTTGGAACTTCACGCAATGAGCTGTTTGCTTGCAAGGCATGCGTGTTTAGCCAATATGGTGGAGACTCCGTGTACTCACAATGCCACTGTTGGGCAATTCGGCATGCCCACTGTTGATCTCATACTCGGGCGAAGACATGGTGAAGACTTCATGCGGATGTGCCAGCTGCCCTGAGTGTGGCGACATCACTTGACCTGGATGCTGGGGGGTCATGTGAACTGAGTGAGGGGAAGGTATGTGTGCAGAGTGAGGCGAGCCTATACAGCTCGAGTGTGGAGAAGTCGCGTGATTTTGTGGCTGAGAGATCATGTTGCTTGAGGACGGAGGGGAGCTGTTTGGCTGCGTTGACCTGGCGGATGGAGACGAAACAAACGTCAAACGTCCGATTCAACAATAAATGCAAACCGTGAATTTCAATAAGCTTAATGTTTATCTGCAGCTGGTGTGTACAGCTGGTGCTGGGCAACACTTACACAGATATGAACTGGGTTTTGATGTAACCAGGTTCCTTCGGGCCGATTTCCATTGGCTCAGGAGGAACTGCGCTCACAGATCAGGGAATCCAATTCATGAATGAATGCACCGACTTCACCTCTGTTCACCGCAACTCAGCATTACAACAGCAGAAGCTGAGGCAGCTTCTTTGTTTCACACAAAAGTTTAAAAAAACCCGCTAAATTACTATATTGAATTGAGATATATTATACTTCTAGATTTGAAGCTTTCGTGACTGCAAGGATTCATACTCTTAGTTCTTTCGGTAAAGTCACGTAGGTAAAAAATGAAATTAAATTTCATTTCATTTTTTAAAGTCACGTAGGTAAAAAATTCAATTAAAATTAATTTCATTTTTTACCTACGTGACTTTACTGAAAGAACTAAGAGTATATATTATACTGCTGGTGACCCTTCACTCGGTGACATCACCAAAAAGGACCGACACGAATATAGAGAAGCATACGTAAGCATATACGATGCACAGAAGCAGTTAGTTGGCAAGATTGCCGCTGTGCGTGCAGCCGTTCATGAAGGTAAGCATCTTTCACAGGCGCATGTGCCCGTGCCTCTTACCTGTTGGTGGAGCGTAGTACTTCCCAAACGCTTGGTCCTTGGGCACGTCCGGGTACAGGTACTGGAGTGGGTTTGTGGGAATATTTTGCTCAGCCATCACCTTGTACGTGCGAATGATGTCAGGAAACGACACCGCAGACAGCTGCTGCTTGGTGTAGGGCTCCACCGAGTTGATGGGCTTATCGCCTGCACGCAAATGCATTGCCGTCCAGAAAATGAAAGAGAACTTGTATCACTCGCATTGTTAAGCCATTACAGTTTCATCAATTATGTATCCTTCACGTTACCGTGCACAAAAACGGCACTGGGTGTGGCTGCTTAAATCTTCTGAGTGGATATGCAACGTTTTTCTGTCGTGCCATCTTGCGGGACCGTTGCCTGATACAACGTGATATTATGTCGAGTGTCATGACAGTTCCAGGTGTAAATGTTATTGTCACATGGCAGGGAGCTACCGTCTCTGCTCTGCTCCACCCAGGTGAAGGTGATGCCACCGTCTTTGCTGCTCTCGCTGAAACGTAGCAGGAAGGTGCCCGGGGACTTCTGCTTCAGCAGCTGGCGCTCCCTGTCCTTGCTGATGAAGCCCATGATGCAGCTGTGACAGCCGGTGCCAGGAAAAGGTCACATGTCCAACAGACAAAGAGGAAAATCACAACCGAGCACTTAAAAATTATATGAAGCAGCCTTTGTTAACATTCCGATATCCAATAAGGAAAGCCTGATATGTGGTGGAATAAAGGACAAATAGCATATATATCCTTTGAATCTGGCCACTTCCTTATCTGAAATACTGAAAAAAGGAGTTTATTTACAAATTAAGTGTCGGGTGTGTAGATGTGCCATTCTGTAGTGACAATGCAACTTTACTCTAAATTAAAACCCATAGAAATACACATTTTTTAAGAATCTGTACATGTCTATCACTAATCTTTGTTTTTTTTCGGTAAAGTCACATAGGTAAAAAATCTAATTAAATAAATGAAAACAACTAAATTAAATCACGAAGTTTCGGGCGCAACACAAGTGTCCGTCGGAAAAAAACCAAAGAGTATGAATCCTTCCAGTCACAAAAGCTTAAAATCTGGAATGCCCGTCACTCTTTCCATTTGTCAGAAATGGTGAATAACACTGTCAGTGACACTTCCCAAGTAAAGACATTCTTAATAGAATACAGGACTTAATAGCCTAGGTACGTCAGGTGGGATGCTGGGACTGTATGTGCTTCACTGGCATGAGGCCAAACCCACCCGTCATTCCACAGCGTAATGAGATGCTTTTTCACGAGCTCCAGGATGCCATCCAACCACAGCCAGAACGAGAAAGGCTTGTCTGGCAGATTCTCCTGCAGACATGCGAGAAAATATGTAGTCACATGTGTGCATTACCCAATGTTAAAAATAGACTGCAAGAGAATTGCTTGACTGAAGGGTAGGAAATGTTTATTTCAACTGGAAAAGAAAATGGACGACGCAGCCAATGCACAGCATAATCGTGAATACACTCAAATGGTGACTTAACACGGTGCCAGAGACACTCAGGTGCAGGTGGTGAACAGACCTTGCAGAACTTGGCCCAAGGAATGTGGCACTCGCAGTAGTTGACACGTGGGCCTGCCAACAAACAAAGGTGCACATTAGCTATCCCGCAAAGGTAGCCAAGCGCATTATCGACAAAGGGATTTTCATATAGTGCAGTTGTGCGTGAACGGTGTGATGGTGGCGAGAGGCACAACCATACATAGCTGTGTTTTATGCATCAATTTGAGTTTGTGCGTACTGTGGAATGAACATTTGTGAAATATGCAGATCACACGTGAGAGCGAGCCTCCCCAGAACACTGCATTCGAGCTGCGAGGTTGCCCTTTGTGCGCGTCACTCTCTGTGTGCGTCTTCTGACCGAGAAGTTTCTCTGCCAGCGTTGACAGCTGCTCTGCGTTGAGCCCTCGTTTCGTGCAGGACGAGAACTGCCAACTCAGCACCTCGGAGAGTTGGCTCCACATCGCAGGTGGGGGGCTCGTGAAGAAGCTCACGTTCTGCAGAAGCACGCACACATTTACGTGAATACGCACACATCCAAATATACACGTGCCCATGTTTGTGTGCTTCTCCGAGTAATAAGTTGTTCATACATAGAGTATGGAGGCATATCGTTACCAACAATAGCAGGATATAAGATTAAGTCAACGATTTAGGTACTTTAAAAGTTGATGATTAAATAGTTTAAACACATTTGTCATGAAATACAATTTTAAAAACCCGTGAGTGCATTTGTTGAGTTAATTTCAAACATAAGTGATGCAAACTGTCGACCTACAATTATTCCCAAAATTCACCACAGCAGTGCTTGGGCATACTTTTGCCCTTACTCACTGCTTGCCCTCACCTTGGGGTCATTGGTGAGCATGTTGTACCAGAGGACGGATGCCCATCCCGAAGGCAGCTGGCTCACATTAGAGATGACCACCACTGGCAGCGAGCATGTCTACGAAGACAAAGATCCCCGCATAGCCTGAACAGACTGCAGGGACAAGTGCTGCTCGTGAGCACCTATGAAGGCCGGCACGGCACACAAGGGGGTGGGGGGTGGCCAGCACCACAACGGTTGCTTGCCTCCCTCGTGGCGAAGTATTTACGCATCGCACTGGGTATTCATTTGTATGTATGCTGAACTTCTTTCACACCGTAAGTAGCCAACCGTGCTAATCGGAGGCTGAATCGACCTCGAGAATCCCCCAAGACCAGTTCAGATAATCGTCACCGGTGTTGGCCGTGAGCGAGAATCTAACTCGGGTCACTGGGTTCGAAGCGCGGCACACTAACCACGACACTACCACTTCCAAGTCGACAGCCACTACACACACACTTTTTGAGTAGGACACCGATCCTCACTTTTGCTCTGCTGACAGCCAACAAAAAGTCTGAGCTCTCAGAACCTAACACACTGAAGTATGCATTACAAGTGAAAGTTTCCAGACATTTCACCGCTGGCTTTAATCCCACTTGGTTTATCTTAAAATGAAATGTTGCCACATTATAAACGGGTGTTTTTCAAAATGTGGTGTCTTCCACACATGACCTCGTTTCATAACTGGAGGCCAAGCTTGCTTCTGCCCCCATTACAACAGTTCACACACGGAAAAAGAATGAATGGATTTTTATTTAAGTTGAGAAAAGAGCGGTCGTTAAGGATTAATTTCTCCACGAGTACCGCAGCTCAGATTTGATTCAACAAATGTTGTTTAGTCTTCTGACACCACACTCGTGCCCTATCCGTGTGCAAAGGCAAAACCAAGGGGTAGCTACCTCCAGCTCGATCTTAAGACCCTGGTGGAACGTCTGTGTCTCAAAGGTGAATGTGTGCAGCTCTTCAGTCACGATCAGAGGAGCCTGTGAGATGGACAGACAGACAGAGATTTACAAACCAACAGACAAGTAGAGATTATTAAGATCCACAAGCTATCAAAGGGTTAGTGCATCATTAATCATTCTCTTCATATTCTTATCTAATATCGTTGTTTTAAATGTCAGGCTGATCATTTATAAGAATAAAAATTAGCTTTATATAACGTATAAATGCTAATGTATGTCAAGACTCTGTACAACATTGCAGGCATATAGATTATGGGGCACAAAAGATGCTTTTAGTCTAGAACTGATGGTAGTGATGTCCATTGGGGTGACAGGCCAGGGGATATCATGAAGAGATGGTGAGGAGGTAGCAGGACAGGAAACCAGAGAAGCAGAGCCAGACATGAGAAATCCTTTCTTGATTGTTTTAAACCTTTTCTAAAAAATAGGAGTTGCTCCCATTTGAAAATGGATGGATTAGCAGAAGAAACCGGGTTCTGGGGATGGAGGAGGAAATTAATCGTGACGAAATGCATTTAGGGTTTCCGAAATGTTGTAAGGCGTTATAAGCAATTATACATCCTCGCTCAGTGCGCACGCTGCGTACTCGGAACCAAAAAAAAAAGCAATAATATTAATGTGCCCCACACACAAGGATTCATCTTCCCCGTAAACGAGGTGTACAATCGCCATCATCTGTGTTGACCTGAGCGCAATGAAGCGACTACCACCTACACTAAATTTCACCTCATTGGTGCGACCACCAGCCGAAGACTTCTGTTCCTTCAGCTGCTGCGGATGACAAGCGAAATAATTTAATTAGAACAGTTTGCAACCTTAACAGTCTCATTGGCCGCAATGCCGCCTGTGTGTATATTATCATCTCGGTCAGTCGATCCGTGGCAACTGGGTCTGCCCCGTGACCTCCTGCCAGCGGGCGTTCGACACTTCACGTGGCCTCAAGGTGCACATGGCCTGGCACAAGCGTCGTGGTGACGTCACCGCCACTTAGTGGCGAATGGCGGTTGTTGTGTATATTAAGTGCATCCCACTCAGCCCCCCCCCCCATACCAGGTGTCGGAATTCCACAGACAGGCTGCCATTGTTGGACTCCTCCATGTTCATCACTTTGGTGTTTGTGCCGAGGATGTTAAACTTCCGGCAGCTGTGAAAGAGGTTCAGGGTGGTGATCAGAGGAAGTTGGAACGAAACAAAAAGTGAAAATGTATTCCCAAAAAAGAGGGTGCCTTCATGAGTTTTAGGCGTATTTCAAGTGAATGTCCAAAGCAAATTTACTTAAAATGTTTGACAGTTTTACTCTTAACGTACAAGGATATTTACAGTCATGAATATAGTCAAATTGTATAGCCTTTGCTTCAACAACGCTGTCCACTTATGTTTCAAATATCACCAAGACAATGTAAAAGTCAGCCCAACAAATGTTATTTTATTCATGCTTGTTCATATAAGAAATCTGTACCGAGTCTCAAAACTCTTTTTGGGAGGGTCCTGCCAAATTTAAGACTGGTAACAAATAATAAATGAAGACCGCATGAATAGTTTCCATGAATCTTGTGGAGCAAGCGTCATAAATCCATGCACTTCCAGTCACACAAGTTGACAGTTTAGCAATAGCACCCAAGAAACACTCATCCTCACTGCTCTTACCCTTTAATCGGAGGCCTGTCCACGTCCCTGCAATAGAAAAACAAAACCTGTTACACTCTTATTTTCACGTTAAAGGACAAGATTATGCAAAGTAGCGTAGACAGCCGAAAGTACGAGCAGGCTGCCCGCGAGCGGTACCTGTCGATGACGGCCTTCACCTTGAGCTGGTAGTTGAGCTCCACAAGCTTGACCAGCAACCTGCAACACAGCCGCTGCTCAAAACTCTCCCTAAAATATAACCTCCTCCAGGAACGGAGCAGCATGTTTGTAATTCAATGGTGGCTAGGGCGACCATGTAGATTTCTGTATCTGCTGTGATACACCAAACCTGCTGGGTTGCAATGTGGCCAAGACGTGGCAGTATAGCAAGTGGGGGTGTGAAACATCCGTGGAGATTTGAGTGTTATCCCTTTTGTATGTATGCTGAACTTCTTTCGCACTGTACGTAGCCAACCATGCTAATCGGAGGTGCGGTGGACAGAAAAAAAAACGAAACAAAAATATATTCTAAAGAAATGAGTTTTCAATCTAGATTTAAAAGTGAATAGCTCCAGTGGATTCAGAATATCAGATGGAAGAGCATTCCAGAAGGCCGCAGAAGCACATTTGAAAGCACGCGATGCAGTGACCGTCTTTGTTCGATGGCTAGTCAAAAGTCACTGTGAGAATGACCGTAGTTCGTGTGATGGTTTATGCTCCTTGACAAGACCAGCAAGGTATTGTGGTTCAACTGTGGCAAGCACATAGGTTATCTGTAGGTGCTCTGGTTTATTTTTACATGGAAGAAAAGAACGAAAAAAAACGGAACTTTCCATAAAAAGGCCAAATACTCAATGAGGCTTTCCTACATAACAAACCATTATCGCTTCTATGCAATTTTAAATCATGCACACAGTAAGTAGTAAAGCTCTCTCTTATAGAATAAAATCAAATGTGTTACTCTCCTATCATAATTTGTATGAACTTATTGAAATGTTAATTTACATTGGGTTTTCTTTTTACACTGTTGCTCAAATGGGTGCGAGCTACCACAGTGAGGAGTGGGGCGAGTCCCAACACCACGGATAGAGTGTGCAGGGGCTCACCGCAGCTTCACGGTGAACTGCACTCCCGTCTTGAGCACAAGTGGCCGCTGTGGGTGAGTCGGCATGCACGGCTGGCGCTCCACCACAAAAGAGCTGCACACATCCCATTGACAAGGCGGAGTTGCACCTTTAACATGAAGCGCCGACACCAACATGATCACCAATAAAGCCTGGCAGCATGCCCTCATGCCTCGCCCTCATTCTCTCGCTGGTGACAGACTATGGCGAACGCTTTTATCTGACAGTGGTGCAGTCTCGGTGCTTTAGCCAGGTGCCACAGATGGAAAGATGCCTTTGACTGGTAGGGCCCGTATTAAGGCATTGGCAGCCATCTGCCTTACAGAGTCTTCCTAACGTTAAAGTAACGGTTGCAGTGTACCCGTTGCTTGTTTTTGGGGTGGCCCCTATGAAAAATGGCATCATACTTTCTATCCCCATCGCCTGTTCAGCCCACTCTGAAACTCGAAACCGTACTGTGTACCAGGGCCCCTTGATGCCTCAATCCAGCAATGAGGTCTGTCAATCGTCTCATCTACTGCGCTGTGCCTCCATTCTAATCTGCCTGCCCAGGCTTCCGTCCACAGTACGCACCTCTTGACGAGCGAGATGAAGAGCTCGTTGGTCTTCTCTTCCAGCACGGGCCGCATGGCGGGGATGGGGTCTCCGCTGTAAGACACCTTCTGCTGCAGCTCGTCCAACTTTTTGAGGTGCTGCCGCACCTGCAGCAGGCCCTCTGACAGGGAGGTACACCTGGTGGGTGGGCAGAAGAGGATCGGGAGCATGGTATCTTGACAGCTGCAGCGCAAACCCATTTACATATATCAGAAATCAGTATACCAAGTTGCATACCCTTTGACTTAGATAAGTGGAAGTGGCAAAGGTGTAAAATTACATCCCCGATATCTGCAGGTAAGGCTGTATTAAAATATTTATGGAAAATAATTATATTCATATCAACTTCCCAGTTAATTTTAGAGCTAAATATAAAGAACACATTTTCACTTACCAACTTTACTGAAACAAAAAGAAGAGTAACTCAAAGAGGTTGATATTTTTTCCAAACTCGTAGTTTGGAATGCAGTACTTAAAAAAGATATTGAAAGAAATACATTTTTAAAGATGTGTTTTTACATGCTATATGTCTTTGGTATTTTAATTCAGGTATTAAACACTTCATCAATATGAAAATTATTTGGCATATCTGTTTTGCATAAACAAGATATTTATACTGTATTCCTATGTAACCACATTTGTTCAACTGGAACTAAGCTACCTCGTTGGGCATTTCCCTCATTAAAACGAAGGTTCGAGTTTCTTATCCCAAGCTGCAATGACAAAAAAAAATATATGCTTTTTTCAGACATCGGCCGTGGCTATTTCACCAGTCTGCGGTAAAAGATGGCTATCATGACGGGGCGCGATCTCCCCAGGCCAGCCGCTTAGTCACGTGGAAATGTTTGTGCGCCACGGAACATTTGGGGTGGCCGCCGTTCGGGGCTGGCCCCAGCGCAGCAGCGTCACGGCACGTATTACGTGGCAAGCGACCGCCCACACGCAGCACGCAGCGCAGCACTATCGCTGCTCGCCCCTGCAAACGCGGTCGTGCCTCCTGAGCCAAAACAGCATATCCCCCCCCTACCTTGGTGGCGAGCCGTTACAAACCACTGCGTTTCTAAACAACAGCCTCCGCCGAAAGTACAGACTTCGAACCCACTCGCTTACACGTTTGTCAATGTCATGGAAATTGTGATAAATAACAATCTGACATTTCATGCAGTGCTCAAAAGAAAAATACCAAGGTTACTGGGTTGTTTATTTGATTGCAATGATCACACTTGTTTGCCCACGAAAGCCTCAGGAAGTCAAAAGTCTTGTTAGGAGGAACCTGCCAAGTTTTTGCACAAATTAAGTAATTTGCAGATAACTTTTCAGCACTGGGATATTTGGGCCATACCGGTCTTTTTAATTAAATATTTTGTCAAAACAATGTTTTTACCCAAGCCCTAATCAACAAAATGCCATTTACACAGTACTAGTTATAAGTCAAGCATGAAAGACATTTAATTTCTCCTGACACAACTCAGATAAAACCAAGCACAAACTGACAAGGATTGGAATTACATGAATAAGGAAAATGTATGAATATACTGCTGCATCTTGTAGTAAATCCATTTCTTTGAGGTAGGATAACAAATATAAAACCATGAAGATCTCTACACAATAAAAATATTGATCATAACATGCAACATCATTCATTTTAGGTCTCTACCAAAGTGATGCCGTAAATTAATTCAAACCCATCCATGAGAGCAGTATTAATAGAAGCATTTCTCTTCATAAGAAAGATAAATATAACTGGATTGAAAAACACATGTGTGTCTATATATATGAACACGTGTGTGTCTATATATGTGAACATGTGTGTCTATATATGTGAACACATGTGTATATAAATATGTGGGGAGGGGCAGTGTAGCAGTTAGCATGCTGCCCGATGAACTTGGCGACCCGAGTTCGATTAGCGCTCACGACCAACACCAGTGACGATTATCTGAACTGGTCTTGGGCCTCCCCTAGGTCGCCTCAGCCTCAAGTGAGTACCTGGTGCAGTGTGTAAACTTTGCCACTGCGGATGTGTAAACTTTGCCACTGCGGAAACAAAGGCGGCATAGCATGGTGCTGGCCACCCTTGTGTGCGTTCAATAGGTGCTCACTAATAGCACTTGCACCAAAAGTCTGAAGGCTTTATGGGGGTTCTTTGTTGTGTTCAAACACAGTTCTGAGGGAGCGGGTACAGATGCTGACCAGCTCTGCAATTGATCCAGGCAGGTGTTGGGAGGACCGCCAATGCAGGCGATCTGCTGGCGTTGTTTCCACTCCTTCAGTTCATCGTTGAGCACGGCAATGTGCAGCGACTCCATGAGGCCCAGCAGCTCGCCCGTGCTCTTCAGGAAACGCTGTGTGTAGCCGCAAAAATGGCAAGCGATGTGAACAGCCGCCCGTAAACTCGCACAGCAGAGCTGTTTACCAACGTTATCAACACCCTGCTGTCACAGAATCCCCATTCTTCCCCAGTAAACTCCAGGAAGCTCTTGATAAACAGCCAAATGGGTTTCTGTGGGCGTAAGGGGTAGTGCGCCACTAACGTCATTAAATCGCAACACTTTTACCCAACTGTTGCTAAAAAAAACCCAATCGACACACGATAAGTAGCTGGAGCAAAAGTGTTTATTTGTGGACTCACAGGCCTGTAGCTCTCTGGGGAAGAATCAAATCACACTGCCTACATTTTCTGGTTTGATTCGGAGCTGGTAGTACGGTACACAGCTGTTACATGCTTTCCTACGGGTGGCTGTACCACCGTGTGTGCGAGCAGAACAAGACAGTGCCCATGCCGTGTTTGCACCTATACTCTAGTTCTTTCGGTAAAGTCACGTAGGTAAAAAAAAATAAAAATTAATAAAAATAAAATAATAAACTCACGACGGAGACGTGTGTTGCCTCCGAAACGTCGTGAGTTTATTATTTAATTTTTATTTCATTTTTTTTACCTACGTGACTTTACCGAAAGAACTAAGAGTATGAATCCTTGCAGTCACGAAAGCTTCAAATCTAGTGTTTGCACCTGTCTGCGCTGGTCCAGGTCCACCAAGATCTGCTGCAGCTGCTTCATTTCCTGATTGCGGTGTCCGTTGACGTCCATGGTCTCTGCGCGTACACAACATAGTCACCACTGTCAGCACACATGTGTATGGGCATCGCACTAAGTGTATGGATGTCCTAAGTATCTGAATCAGGAATGATATCCGTGCAAGCCATTTGTGCAAGAGGGTAAGGGCAATGTTTGTACATGAGACACGGCATGATAAGAGGCCCACCTCCATTTTGCATGGTCTTAAACTTGAAATCAAAGTCATCCTGAAAGTCTTCAAGGTTCTTGATCTCCTGCTCCATAGTCTATCAAACACAAATATGCACACCGAGGCCGGCAGTGGTGAGCATGCATGTCCAGTTAAAATTATCAGGGGACCATTCAGAAAACATGGATAACACTTTGTGGTAGTCAACAGTCATTGTTGTATGGAGACACAAGTTACTGCGATAAGAATGTAGAATTTTAATCTATGATTCAGGGCCATCAACGAAGATGATCACTCATTTGAGAATAAGGATATTGCTTTTTTTGTATGAAAAAATAAGAATAGGTTTTACCCTTTCTGGCAGTAAAACAGGTTTATATTTGGTGTTCAAACACCAAATAGAAACCTTTTACAAGGAATATTGTCTGCATTAACCACACGTACTTGTGGTGAACATGCAAACAAACATGCTCTAATATATGCATTTTCCTTGAAACTGATTGGCCTACACCAGAGACAGCCTTCTTTAGGGCCTAGTCAGACCTGAGAATGACAAAAGTGAACAGTACAAAGAGAATGCCACTGTCAGGGCATTTAAAACTTGGGGTTAGCAGCTATAAAATGGGACCTGTTTGCCAGTATCAAAGTATAAAAAAAATAAGAATAGGTTTTACCTTTTCCGAGCAAAACTGGTGTTTGAACCTCTGAACACCAGTTTTATTGCCAGTAAGAGTAAAACCTATTCTTATCTTTTTATCCTGTCATACTGACAAAAAAGGTCCCATTTAAAAAAAATTGGTTTGTTTAAGTATATAGATTTAACTAAACACGTAAAATAGACAAATGGGTTATTGTATTGGCACGCATGTGTACATTGTCATTTTAAGTATAAGATGCATCATTGTTTTATTTGACTAGCGTACTCCTCGGTGTTCGGCGGCGCACATCAGCAAAACGCCAAATGCCTGACTTACCTGCACACGCTTGCGCATCTCGTTCATGTTGCTCTCCAGGTGCTTCACCTTGCTGGGAATTTCCATATGTTCATGCCTCACCATGCCACCCATCTGACAAGTCATGTGGACAAGACCAGGGGTTATGCTTCAAGCGTTATTGATCAAGAGCAAATTATACAACTTGCACTCTAACAAAGTCCACGGTGTTGTTAATGTACCAATTTTATTAAATGCTTTAATTACAAAAAAGGATGTTTAGCTTTTAAGGCACAGTGGAACATTGTAATAGCTACGTAGTCTTCACAAACAAATAACAAATGAGGTATGTCATTACAAGGAAATATATATAGCAGGCTGTGAGTACTGCATGACTAAATAGACCTGCAAAAGACCAATATATGAAGCTCCCAATGTCGATGCACAAATTGTCCCCTAGTTACCAGATTTAGTTCATGGGACAGAGCATAATAATTTGGCATAACCTGAAGTGGCAAAACTTTAGTGCCATCAATGATGTCATCACACACTCATTCAAAAAAAATATTTAATGATTTGCCTTCATTATGAACGTAAAGAAATTGGTACCACTATCGTTTTTCTACCTCTGGTTAGTACTGAAAAGTGAGATATCTGGTCTAGGCCAAATTTACTCATTTGTGCTTCAAGTAGCTACAAGTTCAACCTGTTGTTGTGTAACCCGTACCTCTTTCTGTTGCTACTAAAAATGCAAATCCAAAACCTGCTCAAAACATGCAAATTTCATCACGGCTCGTACAGAAGAGGTATGCGTGCCGTACGTCAGTGTTCCTGGCCATACTTGCTCAATGTTGCGGGCACTGCTCAAGATCTTCAACTCCTCTGCCAGGCAATTGGAGATGATGAGAGCCATCTGGAGTGGGTCCTCCAAATAGTGCGCCTACGGGGTTATATAGAGGGACAATGAGATAGCTTTAGTCTGCAGCAACATATTATTTATGAACATCACAATGCTTGTTCTACCTGGTTGTAGGTATGCATTTTCACCGGTTTTAAAGATAAACGCATAAACATAAAATAAGAGACTATTGAAGGATCTCAGATTTGCTGTTGATATAGTCATTATAACAACCAATGGACATGAACTTCAGGAAATTATTTCAGAAATGAATAAAGAAAGCTATAAACTGGGCTCAATATAAATATGAGCAAAACAAAGGCACATACAACAAGTTTGATGAACAATTGAAGAAATCTGTTGGAGGGACACATCTGATAAAACATCAGCAGTGTATATCTCATTAACAGTCAATCAGGGTCAAATGGATAAAATAAAGAGGCGGATGAGACCAGGTTGGGGGCTGCCGTTGAAACACTGAACTTAATAATGCAAAGAAACTCAATGTGCCTAAAAAAACAAGTTATTAATCAGTGCGAATCTGCTGCTATGACATGTGCATCAGAAACATGGACATTTACAAAGAAAATGGAACAAAAGCTAGCAATTGTGCAAAGAATCGTAAAAAGGTGCATGCTTTGAGTTACAATGAGAGACGAAAAAAGAACACGGGAATCGGATAACATATGCAAGTTATCACATTGACTTAAAAAAAAAGTAATTTAGGCCGAGCAGGACACATTGTTAGAAGGGATGATGGCTGACCGTCAAGACTAATGATGGAGTGACAGCCAAAAGAGGGGACGCACCCATTGAGGATGTCCACCATGGCGTTGGAACGAGACACATCCCGAGTACAGGACCCTAAGACATATTTTTTCATCTCTCAAGTGTGAGAGATGGTGAAGTTTGGTGAGGCCTTCATCCACTGTTGGTAATTGTGGTAAGAATGGTTTTGGTAAATACATTATTCAAATAAATGCCTTGCCGAGGAGCCCAATTATGCATTATAGGTAAGTTGACGCACCCTGACATTTCCATTCAATATTGCACAGTAAAAAACACAAACTACTCTCAGTAAATGTAACAGGGCTATGGGTGGACAAGCCCTTTTATGCATAATGTCTTCCCCCTGACCTCACCCCGCTCCAATCCTCGTGGTCTTAATATTCCAGTCAATGCTTAACACCAAATCCATAGAAGATTCAAAAGCCCTACCTTTATTCCCTCCATGCCCCGAATAAGTGTACATACATCCTTGTCCAGAATTGTACTCCACCTACCTGCAGATTCTGCTTAATTTTGCGCAAATTGTGTTGCAATAGGAAGTTGTTCTCCTGCGTGAAGCGGCTGTACTGGTCGTCCAGTTGAGTGAGCAGGTTGTGGAACAGCAGCGTGGCCTGGGAAACATTGTTGGATGCGTGGTTCCTGCGCACAGCATAAAAGGAATTAGTAGTCACTTTTACAGAATCGATATTCCACGCCCAGGCACCAAGTTAATCATGCATGTACATTTACATGTTACTGGTGTGAGGGGCACCCACCAGTCATGGCTCTCAATCCAGTGAGCGAGGAACTGGCGGACCTCCATGGGAAAGCTGTCATTGTAAAGCTCATCCACTTGTTCCAGAAACTTGGTGTCCAGCTGCTGCAGCTGTGCCCACTGCGCCATCCTTGCTCCACTAAGCATGCATCCACGCAAACAGACAACCGATTTTAATCCCACAAGCAGGGCTAATGTGCCACTATTATAGCTGGCATAGCACATGTGGAGGAGTGGTGGTGAGCACATCATAGACCAGGAGACAAAGAGGACACGTCCACATTAGAACTTACAGAAAAAATGTGGAATTACACCTAGATCACTGGACATCGAGTGCAGGTGTACATCAGCCATATACATTCTCATATCCAAAGATAGAGCCATAAATGGGCTTGATGGTAATGAAACAATAAAATGTCCCAAAGGTGCAGCTTCAATTGAGTTTTTGGAGTTTGTGTCCAAAACTTCAGTCTGAACCAAAGTAAATAATGCATCTCTGAAGTTACTAAGATGTTCCATTCAACCTCATAATTTAGGTCAAAGCAAACAATGCCCTTGTTCAATTTATTTACCTTGATTGTATGACCATTGTGAGATTGGCACTTATATTTATGCACTTTAGTTTGTACTTCTTTGATAATTAGTTCCAGCACAATACACACTTGTAACAATGTTTGCAGTATGCGTGCCAATGATACAATAAGTAGATGGACATCTGTGATTAAGCCATAGGGGTTCAGTCAGGGCTTCAGTCAGCCACAAATATACCCTTTTTAGTTCCTGGCATGTGTAACACATTTCAGGTAAAACGATAAACATTACAAAAACACATGACATGTGAGATGTTTCTTCCTAGTAGTCGATGGGATGGTGACCACATACAATGTTTTTAACATTATGATGAGTTTACAAGGGACCATTTGCTATATACTAAGCCAGGGTTTCCCAAACTCGAGTCCTCAAGACCCACCAAGCAACATCTTTCCACATTTACAAATGTACTCCCCATTCAAACACAAATGTATATGTTCCACGCTGCATAAGCCCGGTGACTGTAAAACACATCCCACGTGATGCGCTAAGTAATTAACGACGTCTGCGTTAATACAACCAATTCACATTAATATTGAGATCTCGGTGTGTGTGTGCACGTTCCATGTGGTGCAGACAGCGTTAATTGCTTAGCGCGTCACGTGGGATGTGTTTAATAATTATTAGGCGTGCAGTGTGGAACAACTTAAGATGTATTTTAATGGGAAGTAAATTGGTAAATGTGGAAAGATGTAGCGTGGTGGTTTGCAAGGACTGGAGTTTGGGAAATCCTGTACGAGGCCAACTCAATATCTGGGCCCCACAGCCTTTGAAAACGAATTTTATCTGAAAATCAGTCTACTATTCAGTGCATGCTGTTGAAAATATAAATTCATCTAAGGCTGGCTTATGTAATAAAATGCTACAGCTAAACATTCATCTGTAAAATCCCATCAGCTAATAGATTACAATTATTTCTTCTGAGAAATAAAAAAAGTCCCTTATGCGTGCATTTTTAGGAGTGAATTGAAGGCTCATACTCATGAAGTTCATCATGTCTAACGATACTGTATATTATATGTATTACATTTTTAGTCGGGGTGTTAAAAACGAAAAAATGAAACCATAAAAATATAACCAAAATCAAAACCCAAAATCCACCGATATATTTTAATTTTGTGATCACCCAGAGAGGTAATCAGCATCCCATGGACATTATACTAACAATCATTATTTGTTTTTGAAATCGTGCTCTTCATACGGTGGTATCTTACGGGCACTTTACACGTGATAAGCAACTTGCAATCACATCTTAAACGTTCGAAGGGCACCCTGCTTAGCAGCTATCCCTGTGCGGCACAAGGGGACTCAGCACCTGGCATGTAAGTGGGCATTACTCTGAGTAGCCGGGGGCAATTACTATGTGCAATCCCAATTGAGTCATATTCAAGTAATTTTTCCAATTTGGCAAAATTTGGACTATGACACCAGCAGACAATGGCTTACTCATTTCGAATGTCAGGGGATAATTGACATTCACTGTGAAGGAGAATATACATTTTACAGTTATGCACCCACAGTAATAACCAAGGTGGCCTGACATATTCGAACCACCAACCTCTGCAACAAGCGGCGAATACGCTACCGCTGGACCAAGTTATTCCCAATAATTGTGCGGTTATCAACCAAGCTGCGATTTCCAGCTGTACTATATGCAAGATTGCAGAATATTAGGAATCTAAATCAGTTACATGTGCGCATATGACTGACACTTATGAGTGTTTCTTTACACTTGCCCATGTGTTTATTGCTCAAGTTGAAAAACGTTTATTCCTATAATTTATCTACGTCTCAGCCAACATCACTTTTTGTCAAGAATTTATACAAAGTTGGATTTAACCATGAGTCTGGTCTGGTACTCCAAGCCAACTGTCAGTTTTAGTGCTCCAATGATCCCATCTACAAGAATCCGAGTATCACAAACATTTCATGTACAGTAAAGTTAGTTTTGCCTGAAAAAAAATGGTTTAACTCTATAGAGGCATGGAATTTTTTTTATAAATTTCCCGTCTCCCAAATATCCTTTTCCTCCTGCGACACGCATAGGATACGGCTGGAAAAAGAGGGATCCAAAATATATGAAATTATATTCTCGGAAGCGAGTGCTTTTCTTTTGTAAGCGAGGCTGCCAGAAACTACCTTGTTTACTTTCATACTTGTGTAAGACATACCACAGAGGCAGCTATTGTTATAATAATTTCAAAGTGTTCATACAAAGTGCATAAAAAAGACAACAACCACATGGTCAACTGTGTAGAATTTGACTGGTCCCATTCAGCATAGTAACATGCTGAAAATAATTTGTTAGGATGATAATCTTGTGATATTCATGTTGTAGAGTGAAAGATTTGAATAGCAAAAACACTTTAAAAAGTCACTTGGACATATGAAAGGTATGGAAGCACAGGGGTGATTTTGCACTGATCTTCATGGCAATGCTGGCACAGTAAGCAAAGCACTGTATTGTGTAAATAACAGGCTAACCAAGACCATCTCTGAAAAAGCAGGGCTTTTTGGAATGTTAAAACTTGGAATGTCATCAAGGTTCTCGAAAATGTGTAGCAATGTAAGTAATGTACAGTGGTATGTAGACCATCCAATGCATAACCCGTGGGCAAAACACAACTTAAACAATATGGAGTGACAAAATGGCAGAGGCAAAATATGAGCAGCAACACCACGAATGTAGCAATTTTTCAAGACACATTATGAACAAGGGCGAAATGGAGGCGCACTGGTTCAATGCACTGTGACTAACACGAGTGGCGAGTGGTATCTGAACTGGCTCCACTAACCCACAGTGACGAGAATGGTGAAGTATGGTGTAAAAAAACCCACAGTGACACGGCATGCGGAAGCCTTCATCAGCAGTGGGTTTGCAAAAGGTTATCGATTATCATTATTCATTGTAAGCACGACAGCACACTTCTTGGAGACATACTTAAAAATAAGTTTTTTTTAATCTCGACACATAAAAGTTTGGTCCTTGACTTTTTCTTTGGGCAAAATGTATATGCAAATTAGCTTCGCACAACGATCCCATAGAAGTGGGTAATGTGAAAATGTAAATTGAAGCAACAAGCAATCCCCAGTTGTCCAGAATATAGTTAGACCACTCAGAGAGCTGCTAATGCCACTTGCTACACCATTTAAGGGAATCAACCCGTACCAGCCATACGTATTTACAAATTTACTTTAAATACTTTACACCTTCGCACTCATTATACACAAAATGCTGAAGACAAATGAACCTCAGTACCTTGCTGATCTTGTAAAGGAGCATAGACCATCACGCAAACTCTGGTCACATTTGCAGTGGCTTTTGGCTAACCATTGAACAAAGATGGTCACTGTATCGCGTGCTTTCAGATGCGCTTCTGTGGCTGTCTGGAACGCTCTTTCTGCAGATATTATAGGAAGCCACTTGAGCTATGCACTTTAAAATCAATAATTAAAACTAATTTCTCATAAAACTGCTTTGTATTTAGTTTGTTATCCTTCCCCTGCACCTCCGATTAGCAAGGTTGGCTACATGCAGTGCAAAATAAATTCAACATACAAACATACTGACCTTTCAGATGGATAAAGCACTCGTTCACTCCCACACAAACTCTATATTCTCACACACCAGGGCAGCCAAACTCATGCTTTCTTACACAACATTCATAATTGCCCTTCAGATCTGAAGCTGATATCAATCTTCACCCCACACACACACATATACACGCCGACATTTGCCAAACCACTCTACACATAATCACAACCTTATGCTGCTAATTAATTAATGTATGTACTCTGCATGCACACTCAGTTTGGACGTTTCGGTCCTGCAAACTCAACTTTAGAAAAACAGCTGTCAAATGTCTGATTGCTGGGCTCCGTGAATTTTTCTATTTTACTAGGTAACGCCCAAATGAGCTATAAACTCTTTTTCAGAGGTGATCTGGCCACACAAGATTTCCCATTAAAGTGGCTTATCATCAAAGGTTGGAATATGTATAAGCAGCCAAATAATCTAAACGCATATTCATAAATGTGGAGGGCAAAACCGGAGGACCAGGGGAAAATGTTCACGTGACCACGGATAGAACATGCAAACTCCAAATACAGTATATACTTGCGTGTCGGTCGGGATCGAACCCACGCCCTGCTGCATATGAGGCAAGGGAGATAACGTCTGTTACCAGATTATAAACTCCGGAGACCATAAAAAGAATTGCTGAAGTGAAACCATTTTACAGTGTATGTATTTACTCTCATTGTATACATGAAGGTCGATAAAATAAAGGCACTAATGACGAAGAGCAATGAGTGATCCTCCAGCCTGAAATGGTCCTCCACGAAACACGTGAATCTTTCAAATGTTCAAACCACACAAAACCCAAACATCCCTGTAACATCGACGTACGAGCTAATTGCCACTAAAACTGGCACGCCATTGTCACCTTACGTCGATAAAATGTAGCACTTATTTCAGTACAGTTTTCTTGACTGCCACTGTGACGATGAGACAAAAGCATTCATCAATTATAGCTCCAACTCAGGGAAAAAATTCAATGTAAGTGGCACTCTCCATTATGGATCTTTTTCTCATTAACATTCTTGAACGTAAACAAACCTCCCCTAGAACATAGTACAATACCGAGCACATAACAACAATAGCAGTGTGGAATACATATCCATAACCAAGTAAATATTAAATTGCACTAAAGCATGGGTCACGATGACTGCAACAACTTGTCTCGTCCTGCAACAATACAAACATTTCCTCCATTGGCTGCAATGCTAAAAAAAGGCCTCAGCTAATGTGTGTCAGAGTTCATCGGGTTAAGATTCTTGGAGCCAACTTCTGTTGCATAATCGATTATAAATTAAATAAATATGGCATGCAATACCATTCACGCGAAACATAAACAAGGCCATAATTTGCACGTTTCCCCTCATCAAACACGATATTTGTGGGAGGGATATTTCTAATATATATAATACATTAAAACTCGCATCTCTGTAATTTTTAACTGAAAACACACATTGCAATGATGTACCATCTGTTGGCCTTTCACCAAACCATCCAGAATACATCCAACCTCATCTCAGAGGCTAAGCAGTCTAAGAGCCTGTACAGTCTTCGGATGGGTGACCACAATCAACCAAAACAGGTGTCACAGGCAACTACGGGGCAACAGTGTCAGCAAATGGCAGGTCAGGAAAATCCATCGTTATCCTATACGATGTTCAAATGTCTTTGCTCCCAACCTTCACCAACCCGTATTGACCAGCATGGCAAGGTATGGTCAAATAAGCCCCACGCTTTGAAGAGGCCCTCATCCAGCATTTGGACAACCCAAACATGTACATATGATAGACCACTCACTGAGCGACTAATGCAGATGTGTACAGGTATCATCTCTACATACTAAAATGAACTGAGCACATTAACTGTGTAATATCAATTGCTTGACTTACTAAAACGGCTTAGAACGACACTACACGAATTCATAGTTCGATCATTTTGGAAATTCAATAGCTCACACTGTAAACTTTGCATGTTGAACCCATGACAATCAACACTTCCCAACACATGCTGTCCAGCTGACCAGCCACACAGCACCACTATTCCCAGATTTAACCAATAACCCAAGGGTTATGTCTGAGGAAAACATGTTCTACAACTTCCTGTAAAGTCATTGAGTAGAGTATACAGGAATAGTTTTGGGACTTATTATATACAGCTATCGTGGTGTCATTGTTAGCACTCTAAACTTGCAATCTGGAGACCAACCAATTCAACAACCCTTTGCCTCCATTCACCCAGAAGCACCTCTTTCAAGACGTTCAGAAAGCATGGACTTTTCAGACAAACTAGCCACTAAAGGGCCATTATTTTAGTGGAGACCCTTCTGCCAGCAGAGGTGAAACAAAGAAATTGCAGGGCTGCAACTTTTCTTTATTTCACTACTGTATACAGCATCCTCTCTTAAGTATCTTGTAGAAGCACCACAGCAACTGAGGACATCTGGAATACCTATGACGATCAGTTTTCTGCCAAAAATAACAACCTCCCTGGAAGAATGGACTTCAACAATGGGACATTACAGTACTGTATCTAAATAACTATTGTGAATTGGATTCTGATGTATAAGACTCAATGCATTTTGATCACATTTGCAGGGAAGTTAGGAATAATTAATATTTAGAGAACTTTAAGTGATGTGCATTAAGGGGTTGAGAAAGTGCTCAACAATAACCGAACACTTCGTGAATCAAGACCATAACAAATGCATTTTACACCTAGACCAGCGAATGAAAATGCGGCGGTCCAAGGTAGAGGCGGGGTCTGTGGTCTCAGAATTATTTCAAGAGTTCTCCTTGATGCACTAATTTCAGCGCACGGTCAATATCTTTAGTAATGCTGTAACAGGAACTGCGGGCAATGATAAATGATCTTGGCGGTTGCTGGTCAGAATGTTAACCACGACGGCATACAGAGGCAAAATTGGGCAAACTGTACATTGTGGTTATACGTGCATAATTTATGTATTATCCTGCACAACATTCAGCATTGGACGTAACGTTTTGAATAATGCACGAGATAAGTCCAGCTCAACTTGACATCTTGTCCACTAATTTGGAAGCGATTAAATAATATCCAGAGATATGGATATAAGTACAATTGGAATGCGACCTGGCTCAAAACAGTACGGGAAACTGAAATGTGCTAATTATAGAACTATAATGATATTTTTTTAAGGCTGGAGGCCATGACTCATTGGCTGCAACAATGTTTTGGATTAACGGCATGTGGAATAATGTAGATAATTCCCCTAATAAGGGAGACGTGAAAACTGTCACCATGATCAGCATAAGCCATGCTTTACCTACAGGTTGGACAAAGGCCAACGTCGTTGCCAACACTCCTGGTCCTATGATGCCAAACTGCATCTCGCTATTACAGATCTCATCGCTCCAACTTCACAGTGGACATCCTCTCGGGAAGTGGCTCTTTACCTGGGATGCACGCACCCCCCCTGGGGGTGCGAGATGCCATTTCTGGGGGTGCGAGACTTGGCCACATGTTTTTTTTAATAAGGTAAATCATCGAAACACAAATTAAGCACGGACATGTAAGTACAACTACTTTGTTTCATCAAACCTATGTACTTATTTTCATTATATATTTTTAACCATTGAGAACCAAAGGGGGTATCAGGCTGCAGTAAAGGTTAACAACCATGGCTCTCGAGCATGTTCCTACTTCTGACAGCCATACATGAACTTGTATTGTTCTTCAACGTGCATGGTATCATGGACAGTACACAGATGTGTAAAGCAACTTATGTAATGTACTTGATTACAAAACAGTACTTTGGTTGTACATTCTTATATCGTCAGTTTAATAAAATTGAACTGTCTCCACGCAATCAACTCTGCCTGCTAGCCAGCCACTATAGCAGAGGAGTTAAAGAGTTCTATTCGTTCTCCAAGGTCTACCGTGCACACATGTCTACGGCTTCAAACTCTTTGAAGGCTCTCAGAAAGCACTATGGGTTGTCTACGGGCTGAACAGTCTTAGATCCTACAACTGTTCATGGACACATCACAGGTTCACATCCTGCCCAGAGGTCAAACTTAATCCCACCTCTCCCAATCATCACGGCTATTATCTTCACACCACCATCATCATCATAAACGTCACTAGTTTCACCACCATCTCAATCATTACCAGCATCTTCACCAAGATCAGAATCATCACCCTCATATTAATCACCTTAATGTTTACGTTCGTCATCATTTGAATATTCACTATTTTCTAATTATCCTGGAAAAATCCAACCCACAGTCTTTATCATCGTCGTCATATTCTACTCGCTGTCAACATCATCGTCGTCACCATCGTCCATTCACGGTCAGTAAAATGAACATTATGTGCGAGTCTCCACTCTTCACCTGGTGTAATCAGCAGGCAACACCAAGTTGTGACTTGTCTTTTTGAGCGCGCTGCGATGCTCGCCGCGGGAACGTGCAGACTTCACCCGCAAGCACAACCCGGAGCTGCGCACCTCAAACAGAAAAGCGGCACTTCAACTTGTTGTTTTCCGCGGTCAAGCGACGGTGGTTGTGGTGGTGGAGGGGTTGAGGAAGGTCAACTCCTGGCGTCAACACGGAGCGGTGCCTCCTCCGGCCAGCAGTCAGGCAGCAGCCCGTCTCCCCTCCCGTATCAGTCCACGTCTCTGTCTCTCCACACGTCACTACCCAACCCGCCTCAATAATAAAATAAAGAATTTGCACAGGAGGGCCTCGGCTTAAGCAGGGGAGGCCTCCGAGTGTTTGTTTACCACGCAGAGACGTCTGGCCACGGGGGGGTGACGGACACGCGACCCAAGCCCATGTCACCTACGTCGACCTCCTCCTCCCATATACTCTCGCGTATCTCTCCGCGGCCGCAACCCGTCGCCGAACGTACCGTCGTTGCGTCTCCTACTGCAGGCGAGAGGGAGTGATAGAGAGAGAGGGGGGCTCCCCCCACACTTGACTCCGGACTCCAGACGCGGTCGAGCGTGACGCCGCCTTCACTGTCGCCCTCGTCCTGCCACTGCTGCCCGCTGCTGTCACGAACACGTGTGCGCGTGTGTGCGCGCATGCGCAGTGGCGCGCCAGTGTTTGTACGCGAGCCACCCCCCCACCACCCCCGCAAGCCCCCCCCCCACCACCCCCGCGAGCCCCCCACCCCCCACCACCAGCGAGAGCCCCGCCCCCTCCCACGACAACAATCACGACGCCGTCGACCAATCAGCGCGCCGCTCTCGTGGCTTAACGGCGAAGGGCGCGAGGGAGTTGGGGCGGTTGTGGGGGAGGGGTGTGCAGAAATGGGGGTGGGGGGGGAGGGGTGAAATGGGGTTCTCGTATAAACCAATGGGAACAGCGAACTCGCTGCCTGTAAAGTTTCGCGAACCAATAGGAGAGCCTTGCTGTTGGTGTGGAAGGAGGAGGGGGGGGACCCACGTGACTTCCCAGAAAGGGCGAGGATGTCCAGCGCGGGGATTTCCCGGCAACGGAAGCGCGAGCCGCGGGGGACCTCTCCCCCCTCCCCTGTTCCCTCCCTCCACCCCTGTTCCCTCCCTCCCCTGTTCCCTCCCTCCACCCCCCCCTGTTCCCTCCCCCCCTGTTCCCTCCCTCCCCCTTCCCCTGTTCCCTCCCCCCTCCCCTGTTCCCCCCTCCCCTGTTCCCCCCCTCCCCTGTTCCCTCTCCCCCTCCCTTGTTCCTCCCCTCCCGTGTTCCCTCCCCCCCTCCCTCCCCTATTCCCTCCCCCCCTCCCCTGTTCCCTCCCCCCCTCCCTCCCCCCTCCCCTGTTCCCTACCCCCTCCCCCCCTGTTCCCTCCCTTCCCCTGTTCCCTCCCCCCTCCCTCCCCCCTCCCCTGTTCCCTCCCCCCCTCCCTCCCCTGTTCCCTCCCCCCTCCCCCGTTCCCCCTTCCCTGTTCCCCCCCTCCCCTGTTCCCTCCCCCCTCCCTCCCCCCTCCCCTGTTCCCTCCCCCCTCCACTGTTCCCTCGCCCCCTCCCCTGTTCCCTCCCCCCTCCCTCCCCCCTCCCCTGTTCCCTCCCCCCCTCCCTCCCCTGTTCCCTCCCCTGTTCCCTCCCCCCCTCCCCCGTTCCCCCTCCCCTGTTCCCCCCCTCCCCTGTTCCCTCCCCCCCTCCCTCCCCCTCCCCCCTCCCTCCCCCTCCCCTGTTCCCATCCCCCCTCCCTCCCCCCCTCCCCTGTTCCCTCCCCCCCTCCCCTGTTCCCTCCCCCCCGTTCCCTCCCTCCCCTCCTCCCCCCTCCCCTCCCCCGCTCCTCCCCGCGCGTGAGAGGTTTTTGTGTGGCGGTGACGTCTGCGCCGTAGTGGTCAGTGCCAGCCGTCGCACTGATTAGGTGCAAAGTAAGTTTAGGTGATTGGGGGTTATTCATCCAGCAGTGTAAAGGTCAAGGTTGTACGTTGAACTTCCTTCGCACCCTACAAAGCTAATGTGAGGTTGATGATGATGATGGTGATACTGAGGTCTGAGTTTGCGACTGTCATCATTGGCCTTGTACACATTTCATAAACTGTCGTGGAGAGATTTTGTTTTTATCTGCAACCCCATTACACGCAGCTGCGATTATCCAATAGGGTCCGTGGAAACTCCAGTTATTCTATCATCTGCCGTCATCAATGAATTTCCCAAAAGTTCATTGCAGAACGGCCATTCAATTATCCGCAATATTTTCGCGGATAAGTGGAGCTGCACACTAAATGTTCCTACTACCAGTGGCTTACTCTTTGGTTATTTTGGTGAAGTCACGTAGAAAGAGAACAATACATCAAATAATAGCATACGACCTTTCGATTGCAACACAAGCAATCGTCATCAGGTACAAATGAAAGATAATACAAACCTAGTAAACTTAGAAATATAATGCAATACAACACAGACAGTCGGCTAACATAACAGTCAACACCCTACCTGGTTGATTACGTTCTTCCAAAGATTGCTACATTTGAGAGAGAGACAAAACACAGAACCGGAGACGCATTGACAGACACAAGCAGAGAGAGATAACACAGAGACACACAGAGAGAGACACACACATAGGCACACAGAGAAACAACGCCTCTGTGTCGAGGCCTTAAATAGAGAGAGGGAGGCAGAGAGATAGAGGACGGGGTTATCTGCACTTTTATGTAAAAAAAATAGATAATCCCCCACGGAGACGTGAAGACACCCATGGAGCCACGCACACAAGAGACGTGGGGGCACAAAGATAAAAAAAAACGCAAAGACATGGTGACACACTTATACACAGTCCATACAAAGACACCGACACATACAGACGGAGACATCGATAGGGAATTACGGATTATGGTTAAGCACAATACTGGATTGGCAACCAATGAATTGAACGCATCCGAGAGGAGATTGAAAGATGAAATGAGCTCATACTGGATTAATTATTGCATCACAAGATCATGAGAGGTAGCTGCAGCTTGGGAAGGCCTTCGTCCAGCAGTGGATTGATCATGGTGGTTAGCGCAATGTGTTATATCCCCGGCGACCAGAGTTCCATTCCCGGTCGCAGGTAATACTCTTATCAGTGGCTATTATCTGAAACAGTCCTGACTGAGCCTGCCCTCGGTCGACTCAAATGACGCAGTAAAGATGGGTCACAAAAACATTTGGCCAACGTTAGTCCATCGGTTGCAACCACATGTCAACGTTTGCCCAACGTTGGCATGTTTACTGGGTAGTACCTGGTGCGTTCTTTTTTCTTAAACATAATCATTGGGAAGACAAGGTCGTCGGGCGTGGTGCTCGTCACATCGATATCTGGTGCATCACGCTCGCCTCATTACAACTGAATACATTCGTCAATGACACTGCATTTAAAGTAAACAAAATATATAATAGGCGAAGTTTCCTGCTATGACCATTCTTCGTCGCAGATGGACTACGACGGGAGGAGGAGAAGGAAGAGACCTTTTTGTGATTGTGCCAGCACAAACAAGCGACGCTTCATATACCCCACATCCCACGGTTTCCAGTAGACTTCGAAACATCCACAAACAAAATCTCGTATTGGTGGAGTGTAACATCGTTCCAATAACCCGCAGGATATCTGCGGATTTTGACCTCCCCTTGTTCAGAAATTCACTGCGGACAAAATAAGATCAACTCTTAATTATCTGCACTTCTGGGGGCCTCCCCCACGCTGCTCCCACATCCCCCCCTTGCAAACTGCGTCTGGACTTGCAGGGATTCCGTTACCAGTAGGGGGCCATGCGGGGGTGCTGCTGCCTGCGTTAGAAGTTATCTGTCGGCACGGAAGGGAACTACGCATGGGATGTCTTGAATGTTCCATTTAATTTCACACACAATGCATGTTAGCGTAATGAACAATGTCCGATTTCTGTTTAATAAATTGCTGTACTTTGCTGACTCAGGTCACTGCACTCTTGCAAATGAGGCTACCCTGGTCTCTTGAGTTGTATCACCTGGTTAAACACATAAACTTGAACCTTGGCACACAAGGCATCATTCTTGTACAATGAACATGACTCGTCATTACTGGCGCAATGATTCGCTCTTTCGCGTCAATTTCTTGAGGTTAAATTGCAGGCAGAGTATTGTGCTGTATTTTTGTACTATATTATAAGACATGTTTTTTTCTGGCTGGGTGGGGGGCCCGAGGAGGTGGGCAATTTGGGGAAACACGTGGGGGTGGCCTGGGGGGTTTCACGCAGGAGATGTGGGGGGGGGGGGGGCACCCAGGAGTGGGGAGGTGGGGACGTTGGTGAGAGTGGGAGGACGGTCGTTCAATGACGGGTACCTTTATATTATACTGAATGTAATATACTACAGCAAATTATATTTTTAAAGAAAAGTTTTTCTATCCTCTTGGATTCTTTCGGTAAAGTCACGTAGTTAGAAATATTTTGTTTATTTCATTTCTAACTACGTGACTTTACCGAAAGAACCAAAGGGTATGGATTCCTGCAATCACGAAAGCTTCAGAATCAAGATTTAAAGTTTTGCTGGCTGACTGGTGGGAGGGATGGATGGATGGAAGGTCACTCACGTCCAGTGGCGGCTCCTGCAAAATCTCTCAGGGGGGACAAATGTCTGGATGATTGATAAGGATAAGGTCCACCCATGCAATGAATAAATTAACAGCTTAAGCATGTAAAGGCAACTTCACTACTTTAATATTAATGAAAAATAAAGTGACTCTTACAATACATCTCCTTGTTTGTTTCTATACTCACTATTATTACAATCCACTCAGTTTCTTTTATTAAAGATTCCACTAGGTGGCGACAAATAATATTGTTGATTGAAACGTGCTTACGTATGATGACGTAAGCACGTTAGTGCGAGCCCTCCCGGAACCCATAGAGAATTCATTGCAGCGCCCGCCGTTCAAAAAAAAACATCTTTGAATGTAAGTCTATGGGAACACTCTGGGTGATTCTCAGCCAGAGTGAAATCGCCCAAAAAGAGGCGGTACTCCACAGAACGTGACATGACGCTGATTGGACTATATCCAAAGGCACAGTAACGGCTAGCGTAACTCTGGTTGAATGAGATTTTGAATGTGATTGAAAAAGTCCCTTTCACACTTTGGTGGTGCGTCGCCCAATCGCCCTAATGAAGAAACCGCCCCTGCTCACGTCCAAAGGACGAGCGTGTTGCTTGTAAAATGTAAAATGTGATGTGAAGGGTACGAAATCCAGCCAGGGAAATCCATGCCAATCTATCAGTACTTGGCATCGCTGCTGTATATATAGCAAGCACAAATATTTATTTATTTTACTCATCAAGTATTTGATAACGGTGTGTGATTACAATGATGCCTGGAATCTAGAATAACAGTGCATTCGACTAAAATGTGTGTTCTGCACATGTAAATTAGAGTATATGACTAACAAAGTGCTGGGTACATATATATAGCTCACTTGGCAATCTGTTGCATCTGCTGTGTGTTGGTGAGCTATGCTGCTCCTTGTGTGTTAAATACTCTCCGACCTGAGGATAACATGAGTATGCAATAACACCATTGAGTGAGAAGTGACTGCAGGACTTGATAACTTACGTCAGTATATACGGGAATACGAACC